ATGAGTGTGTTCTCAACTACACTTTTCCAACTTCTATTTTTTTTTTCTCCGCGTGCACTTTTTCTATACTGATAACCAATATTTTTTTTGAAAAATAATTATAGAATTTTTTTAAAAAATATTAATCCATTTTCAAGTTTTGTTTGCTAATAATTAATTGATGAGCTATTACTTTTTTTGAGCGGAAGAAAGGTTTAGAGCTTTCCTTATCAAACATTCGAACACAGCTTCAGCTGGACCTTGAGTCCTCGGCTAGTTTGTTTAGTTGGGTTGATGAGGTGTGTTCCCATGTTTGGTGATCCTCTCTAGATATATACGGAGTATACTGGTATCAGTGAGTGTGTCAATGCATGTGTCATGCTCATGCTTCAACAGAAAGCATGGTTTGTTTAGCTGACGCAATAGTCTAGGGGTGTGTTTAGGCTGTGTTTAGTTTCTGAAATTGGGGAGAAGTTTGTGAAAAGTTGGTAGTTTGGAAAAAAAAGTTAGGAGTTTATGTGTGTAGGATAGTTTTTGATGTGATGTGATGTGATGGAAAGTTGGGAATTCGGGGGAAGTTTGGGGTGAACTAAACACACCGTTAGTTGCTGCAATATCTTGATTTCCTATTGGCTAAAAAATAATGGGGATGGTGCATGCATTGGGTTTGTTGCGAGTAAATATAGTATGAGAGAGTTATTAGTTTTTTTTTTTTGTCTTTGTGTAGTACCTGTGTAATATCTAGACCAATTTAGAATGGAGAGAGTAAATCTTTTAAACTTATAATAAGTCTTTTACAAGCGATAAGACAAGAAGAAAAGGGATCTAGGAGGAAGGAGAAGGACACAGTGAGAAGGAAGGAGGCGGCGTCATGTCAGCAACCATGGCAGAGGGAGCGGAACTCCGGCGCACGGCCGGTTCACGACCACGAGGCAGTGGTTGCGTTCTTTTGATACTGGTAGGTAGGTGGGCCCTAACCTTCGTGAGACCATTTATAAGTGGGCTTGTGTTTTTTCGAAAAGGAAAAAGTCCACTTTGACTCCCTTAATTATCCGCAGAATCTAATTCGTAACCCTCAAGCGCAAAACCGGATAAGATGACTCCCCAAACTATTGAAACCGGTGCAATTTGACTCCCTCAGCGGTTTTGAAGGGCGGTTTTGCTGATGTGACACTGATGTGTTGATGTTGACCTAGTCTTCGTCTCACGTGGCGCTTACGTGGCATTCAAATTAAGAAAATATATGTGGGACCCATCTGACATTCACACAAAGAAATATATTATGGAACCCACTGACATGTGGAGCCCGCATGTCATCCTTTCTCTCTTTCTCTTCTTTTTCACCGGTCTGCAAGGGCGAGAGCTGGACAAGCGGCGGCGGCCGGCGGCAGGCAAGCGACACTAGGGGTCTAGGGCGGCGGCAACGGCGGTCGAGGGAGTGGTCGGCGGCGGCGGCGGCGGGGCCATATTTTCCTCCTCCTTCTCTCTCCCTCATCTCTTTCTCCCCTGTTTGTGTGGTCGGCAGGAGTGGTCAGCGGCAGCGGGATGACGACGGGACGGGCGGCGGCTGACGCCTCCGCCCTGCCGCGCAGCAGCCGGGCAGCCTCGTCGTGGCGCACCGGCAAGAACGCCCTCGCCGCGCACGGCGACGACGCCACCACGACGCCGCAGGTGCCCATCTTGAGGTACATGACGGGCCCGTACTTGCGCTCTAGCGACGCCAGGTCAGCGTGCGGGGCCGGGCCGACGAGCGGGAGCGCGTCGAGGACGGGGATGCCCGAGGGTCCCGGGGGGCAGGTGGTAGGAGCGGAGGGAGAGGTCGAGGAGGAGGCAGAGGAAGGCGGCGGAGAGCACGACGGGGTCAGTGTAGAGCGCGGCGAGCTCCATGGCATCTGGAGTGACGAGGCGGGGCGGCAACGGCGCCGTGGGGAGGGATGGGCGAGGACGTCGACGACTCGGGGGGGAGAGAGAGATAGGCGGCGAGGGGGACTCCGCTCCGGGCTGGGTGAACTCTGGCCGGGATGGGGTTGGAGGAGGCGCCGACCACCGCCGCTCCAGCCCCCGTCTGCCGCCGCCGCCGCCGATCTGGCCCCTGCTCCGGCCTTCGCCCGCCCGCCCTCCTGCCGCCGCTGGCCCCCATCCCACGCTCGCGAACAAAAAGAGAGAGAAAGAGAGGGGGAGGTTGAAGAAGGTAGATAAGAGAGGATGACATGTGGGCCCCACATGTCAGTGGGTCCCACAATATATTTTTGGGTGTGAATGACAGATGGGTCCCACATATATTTTTTTAATTCGAATACCATGTAAGCGCCACGTGAGATGAAGACTAGGTCAACATCGACACGTCAGCGCCACATCAGCGAAACCGCCCTCCAAAACCGCTGAGGGAGTCAAATTGCTCCGGTTTCAATAGTTCGGGGAGTCGTCTTATCCGGTTTTGCGCTTGAGGGTCACGAATTAGATTCTGCCGATAATTAAGGGAGTCAAAGTGGACTTTTTCCTTTCGAAAAAGATCCTTTAGTCCGACTGTAGAATGGGCCGCATGTACAAGACCTCCCGTTCTGGCCTAAAAGAATCCCATCCGGCCCAAACATAACGGGCCGCACGGACGCCCAGCCCGTTCCGGCCCAACCTGAACGGACTGCACGAGATCTCTGTCTGGAACATCACAAGTCATTCTGTTTAACTGGCAAAATAGTTGATAGCAAATACTATTTTTTAGAGAGAGAGATTGATAACAAATATTGAATGATGAATAATGTGCAACTTTGATCACAACCCATGTAAAATTATAGAGGCAAACATTGTCTCATCAACTCACGGCCATGGCGATCAATGGCGGCCGCCGACCTCGCCGTGAGTTCGTTGTGCCACAACTGCAAGAGCTGTATAATCTCCGATCCCCTTGCACCATCATCGATTAATCACTAGGAAAAAAGAATAAAAAATGAGAATATTTTGTGGCCCAGGGGTTTCGGAGAATAAAATTCCGAACCCCTTCGAATTTCAGTTTCATTTGCATATCGACCAGGCCATGTAGAAATTCAGTCAATGAGTAGTTGCCCTTGGAAGTTCAGTCTCATTTGCATATGGATCAGGACAAGTAGAAATTCAGTCAATGTGTAGTTGGTTGCAGGAGATTGGCTGAATTTGCATGCTCAACCAAAATGACTGGGATTCAGAAGCTCGAGTGAAGATTCCATATATTTCGGGTTCAAAAAAAAAAAGATTCCATATATTTGTGAATGCATGTAGCGGCCCAACTGAAATATGCTTATGTGTGATTTCGTTTCGATTTTGCTATATATTTGTCGACAAATTTTCTCCCAAAAATTTGACAGATGTAATTACAGTACAATTTTTTCTTTTCTTTAAAAAAGGCTTGAATTCTTGATGCTTGCGGCACTGGAGGAGACAGGAGAGAGCTATGGGCCTTGCCGTCGCTTAAATCCAAGCCAACTAGGGTTCGGGGATCGCAGCCGCGCCACCCGCCCGCCGACACTTGCCACTGTCGTCGACACCGTCCAGGCCACGCGCTGTCGCCCATCACCCTGCTGCACTCGCTTGCCGTCCGCAGCCGCGCCACCCGCCCACCACCGCCGCAGCAGCCGGGCCGCCGGTCGCTGCCCGAGGAAGATGGGGAGGACTAAGAGCATCTCCAACAGCCTCCTTATCTCACTCTCCAAGTTAAATTTTAGCAATTTTGCATCAAAAACACACTCCAACAGCCTAGCTAAGTGACTGGCCAAGCCATCTGGCTAGCCAAACTTCTCCCCGCGCTGGCCAACTTTGGCCAGCCAAAAGCGCCTCTCCAATCATGGGCCCCACGCGTTTTCCCCACCCTCCCGCCAACACAACCCTCTGCCCCCAGTGGCCAGTGCCGAGGCCATCGTCGTCGTCGTCGGGGGCGCCATCGTCGTCGTCGTTGAGGTCGCCGTTGTCGGGGTCGTCGTCATCGAGGTCGTCGGGGCCGCCATCGTCGTCGTCGAGGTCGTCGTCGGGGTCGTCGTCGAGGTCGTCGAGCGGCGCCTCCCACCTCGTCCGCCTCCCGCCTCCCCGCGCCTCCCCCCGTCTCCTGCCTTTCCCCGCCGCCTCCCACCGCTTCCTTGCCGCCTCCCCACGCCGCCCCTCCGGCCTCCGCCGCGCCAGTGCCCAACCTCCGCCAGCACCGCACCTCCGCCCCACTGCCGAGGCCACCGTCGTCGTCGTCGGGGGCGCCGTCGTCGAGGTCGTCGTCGGGGTCGTCGTCGAGGTCGTCGACCGCGGCGCTGTCGAGGTTGTCGACCGCCGCCTCCCACCTCGTCCGCCTCCCGCCTCCCGCCTCCCCGCGCCGCCTTCCGCCTCCCAGCGCCGCTGCACCACCGCGCCATGCGTCGGCCGCCTCGACGGGAAGGAAGGAAGGGGAGAAGAAGAAAAGAGAAAGAAGGGGAGGGAGAGAGGAAGAAGAGGGGAGACAGGCTGACATATGGGTCCGATTTTATTTTGGAGAGGATTAATAGAGAGTCTGTTGGAGTGAGTATCTAGTTTGACTAGCTAAATCAGATGGAGAGTTGGCTATATGAGTGTTTAGAGAGTTCGATTTAGAGAGGCTGTTGGAGATGCTCTAAGGAGAGAGAATGGGAGGAGAGGGGGTGTGAAGGGAAGTTCGGTGGTATTTTGTGTAAATATATTAAAAAAACTTAAAGGGTAGTGGGTCTTTTGGGGTAGAGTAGAGTGGAGCGGTAAGAACCTAACTCCACCCCCGTAGTACAAATTTATAGAGCAACTCTGCTAACTCTGCTTAAAAAAATAGAGTATCTGTACCGTTTGATATAGCTTCTAGCTCTAGGTATGTTGGAGTTGAGAGCTAGAGTGGTGCCAAACTCAACTGTGAGATTGAAGGCCTTCAGTACTGCTGGTTCTCTCTCAGCAATGCTCGGTTTCAACTTGTTGATTCTTTTTCTTGAGCTCAGACTGATTCATTTTTGACGGCTAGACTATTGTCATTAATTCTATTTTGACGGCAAAACAGTTGGCAGATGTATATGCAACTTTGATCTCATTCCATGTAATACTATTACAGAGGCAAATACTAGACATAGAGTTTCCAATAAAAAGAGCAGCCTGTCACTCTATCCTGGTACAACAAAACTCTTGGAACTACGCAGCTAAAAACGGTGTGTATAAATCTAAAGGGACAATGTAGAAGCCATCTGGATTTACACAAAATCACTCGATGAATGATTATGATGAACGAGGCAATTATTATTCTGCATCCTGGTGACAAGGGGCAAGTTCAGCACTCCAACATGCACATACAGTAGTACAGTGCACAGAGAAACGCAGTTACTACATGATGCACGCAACGTACAACACTCCCCTCTGCATGTTGTGTTACTGCATTTCATTTCCGCTGTTACTTTCGACAGTAAAAGGTTCCATAACATGGCAACGGCTGCAAGGCTCAACCACATTTAGTCTAACCGTGGAGGGAACTTTTCCCTCGATGTATGTTCTGATAGCGAAGAGTGCTTTAGAGGCTTCCATGGGATCATCCTTTGACGTTTGCAAGCATCTACCAGGTTTGCCGGGAGAACATCTGAAAGACTCAAAACTGGTGTCCAATGTAAGACATTCAACTGATGTATTCTCGAGAATATGATATGTTAGCTCGAACAAGCTCTTTGCGGAGCGGAATCCAGTGATCTTCACATTCCGGAGGTTGTCATGGCGTTGCTCTGGCAACTGCCTTAGATGTGAGGGGTTCTCGAAAATTGAATCGTTCTTCGGGTGTTTTGCAGATACCTGAAAATGACAAGTCATAGTTGAATTAATTGGTTCCAGAAAGTAGTACTAACTAGACAAGTTTACAGGGTGAAGGTGTGGCTTACATCCACGATGAAAGTGTCCAAGGAAGGGCAGGCATCGAGAAAGGAAACCAGAGACAAATAATCATATGATGGAGAGAGAGTTACTGCAGAAAGAGTAATGCACAAGTACTTGAGAAGGAGGAAAGTGTTAGGCACCATTGGTGTATTGACCATCTGCAGAAAAGATGCTTCAGATTGACTAAATATCATGTTAAAATGCGTGAACATAAATATATAAAAAAAAGTTTAAGAGCCACCGAGAAAGCATACCTCACCCAACAAGCCTATGGTAAGAGTTTCGAGGTTTGGAAAAATATATGGTAGCTCCGCGCAAGCATGATCGAGAACAGAGGAATACCCAATCCTTAGGTTCTTCACCAGAGATGACTCTCCAAAGGAGAGTTTTATAGGGTGATAAGGTTGATAAAAAATGTGCAAACTGTGAAGGTTTGGAGCTTTGTTCTCTATTACTCTCAGCCTGGAGCATCCACGCACTTCCACATAGGTCAGCCGCTGTAGCACACAAGGCAACTTCATGTATTTTATATGACGGCAAAGCCGGAGTTTCAACCACTCCAAAGCAAACGAAGTGGAAAAAACGCACCCCAACTCATCCCCCGTGATACTCACATACTCCAGATGCAGCCTCGTCAAGCTTTGAAAGCAACCAATCTCCGCAGTGGGGCGAAAGGTACAGCGGTAAAGATCAAGAAGCCGAATCGAGCTTCCACTCCCATCAGATAGAAGTGAGCAAGGAAAGTCATAATATGACTTTCCCTTGGACATCGAGAGGCTGAGCTCTTCGATCCTTGGAGTAACAGCAATTTGAAGCCATCTTTCGAGGTAACTGCGTGCTTTGGTACTGAAGAGACCATTGAACTCAATCGTAAGAGCCTTCACACCAATGCCTGAGTGTTTTTTCATAACGCGATCAATTTTTCTGATGAAATCCGTTGTACCTTCAACGATACCCATTGTTTCAGTACTAAAGGAGAGTTTGGGACGGTTTCTCCAAGAGTATAGAAAGGCAGAAGACAAGCAGGCAACACGGGCAGCGTCTTTCATTGGCATAAGGGAATGTATATGCTGCCACATTTCCTGCATGCACAAGCATGAGAGAGCCATTACATTGGAAAAGTGAAGGCTAAAACAACTGGAATGTAACTGCGGTAGTTAAATTGAGCATTGTGTAGAGAAGGGTTATTAGTTATTACTAGCTTGTACACATTTTACTGCTATGGATGGTATTGCAAGACAGAGCCTTCTGAAACCTTAAAAACATTATGTTGGAGAGGGGCAATAGTGTTAATTTTTTCAAAATTTGCTAAAGCTACAGTAAAAAAATAGTGTGAAATTTGAAGGCATGGGGGAGGCCAAGCCACTGCTCGCCTCCCCCTGTTTCCTCCCCTGATTGCAAGTTGCAAACTTGCAACATGACTTAGGCAACATACTTGACAAATGATTGTGGTCCTAAAATAATATGTGGATCAATCCTATCCGTCACTTGTATAAGAATTAGGAAGGATAACATGAAATCAATGTTCTAATAGAAAGTGTGAACCAAGTAAACATGTGCGGAGGAAGCACTGATACGTTTTTCCATAAAGTTCAACAGTGTAATATAGCCTAGTTATCCTAAGATACCAAACAAACCTAATACAGCAGTCTGAATTTGTGTGCTTCCCACGACTCTGATTTAACTCATACGGTCATACACCTATTCCAAACAAGTTACTATTGGGTGACAGTATAATGAATTAATGATAGGTTTATTTTCCAGCATTAAGTACCCATGGAAGGAGATTCTGCAGGTAGAATGGGCCAGATACAAGACATTTGTTTTAGTCAAGGTTATCAGCAGGTAAGCTAAGCATGATGTCATCTGCAATTACCGCAGTCGAACAAGACATACTTGGTACATCTATGAGTCTATGACGAGTACAAAAATAAACAAAGTGAAATATGTACACAAATTTCTGTTTTAGTTGGAATAGTTACACCAATTTTTACGCACTATTTGCACTGTAACTCTGTAAGTCTTCCACTACCAGGACTGTGTGTCATACCTCAGGAAGGTCTGGACCTGAATATCTCATCTTTTTGCTACTGCGAGGACTGTCATCTTGTTGATAACATGAGCCCTTTCGTTTCTCTGGTGAGGCAATAGACTCATCTGCAACAACTAAAGGTTAAGAATTACACGCGTCAACAGGAGAAACAAGAAATTAAGCATTATGATGCAAACAATACATGCTTGGTCTAGTGTTTGAGTGGATGCTGATTCCTACTCTCAAAACCTTTAGTAGATAAGCATCATTATTTGGTCTTCTTAATTACAATCTCTTCTATGAACAGATGCAGACTGGGGGTAAACAGGAGCTCAAGTGCTCAACCGGAGAACTTACCTGCTCAAACATAAAAAGGTACTCCGTACTTGCAAAAAGATCATATGGTCGAAACTAACAATCTAAAGGAATCTCAAACATAAAGATTATACGGGTTGAAACTAACAATCTAAACGAATCAGTTTCACCTACTCGAAAAAGGGAGAGGAAACTACAAAACCGAAATCCTACTCTTGCTGCACAAAGCTGAAGTACATTCTCTGAACAAGCAATAGATGAGAAACCCCATTGTTTAGCTTATTCATATGCTTATCCGAATCGCTTATTAGCAAATAAAAAATCATTTGTAAATAAAACTTTTATATAGGTGTCTTTAGCAACTCAAAAGTAAATGTCGTAAAATAAACTATGATTAAGAAAAATCAACATAAAAATAAAGTCCTAAATTCAAATTTGGGCTTATAAGCATAAGCATAACAATGAGGCCGGCATGAATAATTTGCATTGTCACATGAATGGCAGAACTCATTGCATCCTGACATGAATAGCAGAGAAGACAATCTGAGGACAGGAAAAGGCGACTTACCGGGGACTAGGGCATGTCGTCGACGACGACGACGACGCTCTCGCTGCAAGCGCTTCAGCAGCACGTACCCCAATCTCATGACCACGAACCCACGATTGCTCGTCCGTCCACGAATTGAGGAAACCGGCGTCGACTTCCGTTTTAGTCTCCTACTACTTATTTCCTCTCGGAATCTGTATCTTGTTAAGGAAAACGAGGGAGAGAGACCACATAGGCGCCGCCGGGCGAGATTGTTTCTCAGCAATGGGCCTCCCAATTTAGGGAGAAATCGGAATTAGGACTCCTGAATTCGCGGTTGTTAAGCCAAGGATCTCACCACTAGCGACCGCTGCAGCTGCCGCCTACCGCCGCCGCTTACCGTCGGCGACCCCGTTGGCTTGCGCTGCTGGATGACGTGACGAATGCCTTTGCTCGCCGTAGGGGGGAGATCCGGAGAATGACGCGGACGACGGCGGCGTTGCACTGCCGGGCGGGGGCCACGAGGTTCTGCGGCCTGTGATCGCCGCCGCGTGCACGCGGGTAGCGCGCTCTCGCCCCTCGTGGCGCCGCTCTGCATGCGCCGGGTGGGTGTGGCGGGCGAGCGGAGCGCCCCGCGGCGGTGTGGGTCGCTGGAGGCGGGTGATGCGGCGGCGGCGGCGGCGGGGCGGGGAGGCCAGCCAGGTAAGGTTCCTCTGCGCCGGATGCGTCGATGGCGGAAGAGGGCGGGGGATGTCGCCGACGACCCGCAACTCAGGGCCGGGCTCGATTACTCCATCCACGCGGCCCCGTGACCCGCCGGAGCGGAGGCGGAGGAGGCCGACGGCGGCTCAAAGTCGAGGCGCGAATGCTACCAGCTCGGCGGAGACGCGGAGTCGCCGGTGGAGGGGAGGGAGTAGGGCCCTACTGTAGGGGGGATCACGGCGAAGTGGGGACTCCGTGGTCGATCTCAACGTGCTACTGACAAGTCTATTTTGCCTCCTTCCTCTTGCCTACGTCAAAATCACATTCCTCAACCGTAAAACTAGGTACTTCATAAATCGGTGCAAATCAGCTCCTTAGTCGTTTGAGAAGCGGTTTTATGCTAGCGTGGTAGGTTGACTTGGTTCAAATACGCTGACATGGCAGCACAGTCATCAAAGAATTGAAAATAGAAGTAGGTCCCACATGTAAGTAATAAAGGATAAAAATAAAAAAAATAGTGGGGTCCACTTCCCCTTCTCTTCTTCCTCTGTTCTATTTCTCTCTCTCATAGGCAAAGCTCGTACATGCTCGACTGCGTGACAGCGGCACGGCTAGGGGGTTGGCATAGGGATACACCTAGTGATAGTGAGTGGTGGCGCGGCTGGGTGGTGGTCTCAGGTTGCAGCGATGAAATCGGAGATGGGGACGTGCTCCTGGTAGCATGAAGCTCGGTGGATCTTCACCACGGGAGGGTTTTCCTCTATCGAGCTTGGGTGGGGCTACCTCGTAGAGAGCTTACTTCAGCGTCCACGGTGGCGGGTCATGTAGGGCCTGAATAGTCAACTAGATGGTAAAATTGAAAAGAAAAATTAGCCGGCGGGAATCTTAGGTGTGAAAGGAAGTTAAATTGAGAATAGACTGAGCTGTGAGCGCGAATGTTGTCCAAGTTGTGTGCTCTTGGGTGATGCAGAGTCTCGTTGGCCTCCTCCTTGCTCCGACGTGCTCCTAGGCTTCTAACATGGCAGCTAGCGGAACGAGAGCAAGTCCCGGCAAGGGGCTTGGACGAGGTAAGCACACAAGGTGCTCGGCTGATGGGTGGCTTAGTTGATGGGGTGAAGGCCGGGGTGAGCTCACCCTTTAATAGCGCGCGGGTAGCGGGGCGACAAGGATGGTGTGCTGCTACCACCGATTTCGCCCTCACCACACTTGTCGCGTCGTTGCAGCCGCCTCGGACCACGTTGATGTCACCGCTAACCACGCGCTATAGGAGGCCTCCATGTTGTGGAGGTCAAGGTGCACCACCACCATGAGAGCTCTATCCATCTATCTCTCCCTCAAGCTCGACTCACTGGTATCGTCACACACTTGGACCAAGTCAATCCTGTCACATCATGAATTAAAAAGCATTTTCTAAAGGAAAAAGTACGAATTAACCCCCCTCCCCTGCACGAACTATTGCGGTCGACCGAATTACCCCCCCTAAACTCGAAAACCAGACATCGTCACCCTGAAATTTCAATATCGGACAAATTAGCCCCCTCGACCCAATCCAGAGTGGTTTTGTCCTACGTGGCGTACGCGTGGCAATCTAGTCAGTATTTTTTAATGGTGGGACCCACATGTCTCTCTCACCTCCTCTTCTCCTCTTCCCCCCTCTCTCTCTCCCTCTCTCAGTGAGCGAGCATGGCAGCTCGCGGCGGCGGGCGGTCGGCGGCGCGCGGAGGTGGAGCCCGACCTGGGTAGCTACAGCATCATCGCCGTCGACGAGGCCCACGAGCGGACGCTCTCCACTGACCTCAACGACGACGCGGTGCCGGAGATCTTCGCCCTCGGCGTGCTCAACAGCCGCGGCGGCGGGAGCGGAGAACTCCGGGAGGGAGCCGGAGTGGTGGGTCCCACCTCCATATCCTCTCATCCTCCTCCCCCGAGTGGCGCCGTCGGAGCTGTGTCGCGTGACGCCGGCTCTGCGTTCCCCGCCGCCGCCGGCTCTGTGTCCCACGTCACCACCGCCTCCTTATCCCTCGGCGCCGCGCCGTCCACCACCCGCCGCGGTCAGTAGTCAGTGGTGGCCTCCTGATGATGGGATCGGCAGAGGAAATCGAGGCGGTGAAGCAGCATCCATCCTCTGGCGATGGCGTAGCAGGGCGGGAGCGAAGTCTGGACCCCGGTGTCGGCGGTGGTGGAGACGGGGCCACGCCGACGGAAGTCTGGCGGCAATGGTCCTTGACCAGAGTGGAGGAGTCTGTCATCTCTTTTCTCCTCTCTCTCTCTCTCTCCCCCTCGTTCCTCTCCCCTCCTCTCTCCCTCTCTCCAGTAGTTGGATGGGGGCAACGAGGCGACGACCGGTTGTAGGAAGCGGAGTTCAAGATGAGGGCTGCGGCACGGGTCCCTAGAGGCGGCGCGGCCGCGCGGGCATGTCTGGTGCCTGTAGACGAATGAGAAAGAGGGAGCAGCTTACATGTGGGGCCAACTAGCTTGAGGATGAGGTGGAGGCTGACATGTGGGGGGCGGTGCCACGTGTGCGGCCTCGTAGGATTAAAACAGCTCCGGATTGAGTAAGGGGGTTATTTGTTCAGTATAAATTGTTCAACGTTTAGAATGTCCGGTTTTGTGGTTTGGGGGGTAATTCGATCGACTACGATAGTTCAGAGGGTATTTCGTACTTTTTCCTTTTCTAAATAACCGAAGAAGTCAATTTGCACTCGTTATACCCTGGTTTTACGGTTGAAGGATACAATTCGATCAAGGACTAGAGATGAGGAGGCAATAATAGACTTATTGAGTTCAGTGCTGAGCCCAACAAGAATAGGCTGCGCGTTCGTGGACATAACATTCCGTCCCCCAAAATATCTCTTCTACTCCCGGTTTCTTCCGAGGGAAGACGCCGCTTTCTTGGGCCTCAAGATGTTACGAGGCTATAAAAGCCCCAAACCAAACCAGTAAGGCCGAGCCAGTGAAGCCTATTCCTTCCCAGGTCGAGCCCAAACACCGGAATTCCCCCAAACACCCTCCCACCTCCACTCTCGGACTCTCCCATGGCGATGGCCCACAGGATCGTCTCGCTCGCCGGCCTCGAGGAGGTGGTGCGGACCCGCGCCGGCCGGCAGGGCGTCGCCGTCGACGTCGTCGACTCCGTCCGCAACGCGCCGCGGATGCTCTCCGTACTCATGGCCCTGGAGGTGGACTACGAGTGGGTAGTCTACGAGAACAACATCCACCGCCTGCGCGCTGTTGCGACGCTCTGCCGGGTGCTGGAGGCGCTCGACATCTTCGTCTTCCCGCGACTCCGCCTCGAGCCGACGAACGCCCGCGGCATCTCCAACCTCCGCTACCGCGCCAACCGCATCCGCAAGATGGCCGTCAAGGCGGGCGGCTCCCTCCGTGCCCCGGCGATCACGCTCGGCAACCACCTGCGCAACTTCACCACCCAGCTCAGGAGCGAGGCGCGCACCGCGGAGTGGGTGGAGGCGAGACTGCCCCGTCTGCGCCAACACGTCCAGAACGTTGCAGCCCTCCCCGCCGACTTCACCGCACCTCCAGACCCCGACATGTGATGGCGTTCGAAGCTTGGAATGGCCTGGTGCCCCAGTGCGTCCTCCCCCGAGAATGCTTGCCACCCACCACGCAGATGAGATCCCCGCTGGATTCGAGTTCGAGGATTGTGTAGTTAGAGAATGCATGCCACCCACCACAGATGAGGTCCCCGCTGGATTCGAGTCCGAGGATTTTGTAGTTATAGTTGATGGTGTTGGAGGTTGAGTTAGTTGATGAATCGTGTGAGTTGGTGACGAACTAGTTTAGTGCAGTAGTAGTCCCAATGATGTTGAGGTGAATTTTAGTGTCCGAGTCGTACAGGTCATAGTCGGATGCGTCCACTCAGTGTAAATCCATGTGATTCACTGCTCAAAATCCATACTCCTATATCAGAATCATAAAATGATTTCTGGCTCAATTTTGTTTGATCTGTAGTGGTTGATTTGTGAGGATTGGGGATTTTTTTTTCAGGCCTCATACTCTCTCTCCCCGCCCTCCTCATCGGCGCCTGTGCGGCGGCGGCGGTTGCGGCGGCTGGAGACGGTTGCCGCGCCGGCTGCTCGCTGGCCATCGCCGCCTACTACTTCTCCGAGGGTTCAAACCTCACCTTCATCGCCACCATCTTCGCCATCGGCGGCGGCGGGTACCAAGCGCTGCTCCCCTACAACCCGGCCATCACCAACCCGGACTATGTCGTCACCGGCGACCGCGTGTTCGTCTTCCCCTGCTCCTGCCTCGGGCTCCCCGCCGCGCCCGCCTCCACCTTCCTCGCCGGCGCCATCCCCTACCCGCTCCCCCTCCCCCGCGGCGGCGGCGGTGACACCTACGACGCCGTCGCCGCGAACTTCGCCAACCTCACCACCGCCGCGTGGCTGGAGGCCACCAGGGCAGGATCCCCGGCGATGGAAGGGTCAATGTCACCGTCAACTGCTCATGCGGCGACGAGAGGGTCTCGCCGCGGTACGGGCTGTTCCTCACATACCCGCTCTGGGATGGGGAGACGCTCGAATCGGTGGCCGCGCAGTACGGGTTCTCGTCGCCGGCGGAGATGGAGCTGATCAGGAGGTACAACCCCGGGATGGGAGGGGTCTCCGGGAAGGGGATTGTGTTCATCCCGGTGAAAGGTGAGTGCTACTGGTTTCTCAGTTTGATTTTGACTGTTTGAGCTTGTAAAACTATGAGTTGTGACTTGTGAGAGGTTTTTGTTGGATGATAATTGAGAATGTGAAAATGTGAAGTGTGGTTTGGATAACAGTGGTTTTTGCAGGCAGTTTGTGAAAGGAAGTGGGGAAATTGATGAAGTTTGATTACTGCTTGAATGTTCTTAGCATATTTATCAATTTTGCTTGGTTGTATTTGTGATTGATTTAAAGCAATGCAGTAACTGAGTTTTGGTTATACAAAGTTCAACCCCTGTCGTATGCTATTTCACATACACAGATCGACTTTGTGTTGTGCCATGGTATGCAGTAGTTTTCATGTTTCGGGAGTGGTAATCTATTTGATCCTGCATCATGGTTGTTTGAGGCCTCATGTACTCATGTCTATGCTGCTACATAGTTGGTACTGGAGAGAGTATCATGCAAGTCGAATTGCCAACCTTTTTTGTACTGATACTTGATAATTAGTTAGTTAGCACAACTCACTGCAGTCATTCTTCAGAAAAGCTCACCACTGTCATTTGCTTAATCTCTTCTCTTAAAAAACAGCTGTTGTCAACAATTAATCTTCTAGGTGTCAATCTATAATTCTATATATGCTAGCATCCTTTACTCTGTTATTTATCTCCAGATCCAAATGGAAGTTACCACCCTCTGAAATCAGGGTAAGCATTCTTCGACTGTCAGGTAAAATTACAACTGTGATTTCCTTCATTATTTTCTGATATGTATTTCTTGTGCAGTGTAGGCATTGTTCTTCTCTTCTGTGAGCTCTTGTGTATCTATGCTAAGGTTATCAAGAAGTAAAGTGGGTATTGTCATGATTCATAACTTAAGTGCATTTGTAGGATTTGAACTATCCATGGTATTGTAGCACCCATACTAGTTGCTACCATGTATGAAACGCTGAAATGCAGAAATTCTCAAAGTTATGGAAGATTTATGTGTTGATGCTCCAACTGTATGAACTGAATTTAAACCAGGATCTTATTGTTGATTGTATCTTCCACAGTTTGAGGAGGCCCTCAGCGCTCCAAACCCCACGGAAGCTCTTGATGAACTGATCGATCCAAGCCTGCGAGGGGACTACCCCGTCGACTCGGCTCTCACGGTTAGTAGCAGGGAAGTCAGTTCGTCAGCTTCCGTTTGCTTCTCCAGCAAATCCAACATGATTTGCATCGACATGTGCTATGATTTGATTGATTTCTGGATCAGATTGCGTCCCTTGCAAAGTCCTGCACGCATGAGGAGCCCGGGATGAGGCCTACCATGAGATCCGTCGTCGTTGCCCTGATGGCGCTCACAGCCAACACCGATCTTCGCGACATGGACTACCTACCACCCTTTCTTAGGACAGGTTAACTGGACAAGTGGTATAGCGTTTTGTGTAACTGTTTCCATCTCTGATTCAGTGAAAATATACAAGCGTAAGATAAGAATAGTTTATGCCTTCACTTAATTTGCTGTCTGTACAAACTACGAAGTAAACAGAAAGGCAAAAGTAAAAGAAAGAGATATCACAATGTGAACACAATTGGAATTTACTAAACCGGGTCAAGAAAGTTGAGATGGCCGAGTTGGTCTAAGGCGCCAGATTAAGGTTCTGGTCCGAAAGGGCGTGGGTTCAAATCCCACTCTCAACAAAAACCATTTTAAATTTTAATTTTATTGTTATTGTTTTTCCTTGAGCTCGTGACAAGTGTCTTTGTCCATGGTGCAAGTAACCGAAAGTCTAACTTTTTTTGGACCGACCGGCCCGCGCGCGGCCCAGCCAGGAGGATGGCCCAATCGGGATCGATCTGAGCCGTTCGTTTTGATGGATGGCTCAGATCGGTTCCGAATCGATCAAAACTGTGGGGGCCAAACAAACCCTAACCCTAATTAATTTTTCTCCTACCCTCACCTCCCGCCGTGCCCGACGGCGCCCCTAATCTCTCCCCACCGGCGACGGCCCTCCCCCACCGGCGGCGCCCCTTCCCCTCCCTCTCCCCCACTGTCGGCTCCTTCCCACTTCGTCAGGGTGCCGGCGTCGCCCCGCTCCTCGCTAGATCTGGCGAGTCGGCGGCTCCCCGGCGGCGCGGTGACTCGGGATTGGCTCCTCCCCCTCCCTCCCGGCATCTCCCTAGCGCAACGGCGGCGCGGCTACGGAAGAAACTGGAGGAGGTCAAGATGGATATGTAAAAAGGGATTTGTCAATTGCTTTAGGCTGCAATGCTAATTTTGTTGGGGTGGATTGGAGTTCTTCCATGGATCCCTTTGTCGATTTTATTTGGGTGAATCTTTGGTTATTGTGTTTGCCTTATGGTGTTGTGCATCCGATTTGGTTGTGTCGAACTATAAAAGTCTGGTTTTGGAAAGTGTTTCCATGAGATTAGATTATTGTTAGGATTATTGCTCGGTGTAGTTCTAATACTAATAATGATAGTTCGATTGGTTTGTTAATCGATCTTTGATTTTGTATCGAACTCTTTTTTTCTTTTCTTTTCTTTTTTTTTTTTGGCTTTGGCCGTCGTACGGATGTAATTGCACGTGTGTATGGAGGGTGCCGCTTTTCAGATTAACGGACGAAAAGTTACTGTGAACGAAAGGAAAAAATACGAATATTTTAATTAGTTATTATTAAGATATCCGAAAATATTCTGAAATATCCTAAAAGTTTAGTTTTCGTATTTATTTAATAATTTTAAACCCCTATTCACCCCTAGGCGACGTCAAGAAACTTTTAGATACTACACATCCTAGTACAATGGAGAGAGTAGTATCATGATGTACAACCTAGTCATTTGTGTTGGTAAAATTGTAGGATATATAGATGTGCCTTGTAATTATGCACTGTTATAATTTCTCCCGGCAATAGATTGATTTTTGCTGATTTCAACTTTAGGGTTCAGCTGCATTATAGATTGATTTTTGCTGATTTCAACTTTAGGGTTCAGCTGCATTGTTGCAATAACCAGGGTCCAAATTATCGACGTGTGTAGCGATAACTGTTCTCAATTTGGGGAAAGTAATTAGGGCTAATTAACTGAATCCCACGATGAACGCGAGGCGCCGGAACGAGGAGACCCGCCGCCGCCGCCGCCGCCTGGCCATGGCGAGATCGACGACGACGCTGGACGACATCCCCGACACCCTCCTGAAGCACGTCCTCGTCGGCCTCTCCTCGCCGGTCTGCATCGTCCGCGCCGCCGCGACGTGCAGGCGGTGGCGCCGCATCATCGCCCGTAGCGACTACACGCGCGCCCTGCGCTTCCCGCCGCTCCTCGACGCCGGCCACTACCAGGCCGTCGACCTGCGCTACGCGGCGGCGCCGCGGCCGTGTGGCGGCAAGATCGTGTACGTCCCCTCCGCCTCCGTCGACGCCCGCCGCCTCGCGCTCGACTTCCTCCCCGGCGGCGGCTCGGCCTCGCGGTCCTCCTGGAAGTGGGAGCTCGTCGACAGCGAAGGCGGCCTCCTCCTCCTCGCCAAGACGAGGCGCCGCCGCTTCCCCGAGCTCATCGTCTGCGACCCGCTGGCGCGCCGCCACGTGGTGATCCCTCCCATCCCGGACAAGAAGTACAGCCATTGCCTCGCCGTGTTCTTCTGGAACTGGAACGGCGGCCCGAACCTGTCGGACTTCACCCTCCGGTGCGTCCTCCACGAGGGCATCGACGGCGCCGCCGGGGGCGTCACCACCGCCAGGGTCTACGACTTCAAGCGCCACTACTGGAGCCATCACCGCAAGTACTTGGACCGCTGGTTCGCCCGGGGGGGCGCCATCGACGACGGCGACGGCGTCCATCTCCGCGGCGCCACGCTGCACCTCACCGGCCGCGCCGCCTGCTGGATCTTCTTCGGGAACGACGCCGACGCCGACGCCGTGCTCGCCTTGGACATGCGCTACCCTTCCGCCTGCAAGTTCATGCTCGCCCGCGTCCCGGGCAGCCTCCGCGGCGGCTCGTGCGGCGACAGATCGGGCTTCCGCTTCATCGACGGCGACAATCCCGACGACGTGCGCCTCGTCAGCGTGGTCGGCGGCGACCTGAAGGTCTTCCTGCGGCGCGACGGGAGCGGCGACGCGTGGGAGCCGGAGAAGAACCTGTCCTTGCGCGACGCCACCAGCGGTATGCCGGGGCGCAAGGAGAGTTACTTCGGCGGCGCGGGGGCGGCGGCGAAGATCGTCTCCGCAGGCGCAGGGTACGTCGTGCTCACCCCGGCGGAGGAGACATGGCTGTTCTCCGTGGAGCTCGCGACTATGGAGGTGGAACGCAAGCACAGCAGGAACAGGTACGCCGGCGAGTTTTTCCCGTACCATCCGCCATGGCCGCCGACCTTGAGTGCTCACGTATCCTACTGCAAGAGAAATCGGAAAGGTCTGTGCTTTCAGATTTGCGTTTGTTAGATGGAGATGCGTGGATTCTAAACACTCGGTGAACGTCTATCCATTTATTGCATGTAATTTTCAAAACCTGAAGAATTATGAAACTGGAAGATTATATTTTACTAGTTAGGGACTTAGGGTGCACGTGGAATCCACGTCGCTAATATACGTTCGCTATAGGTTTTCACTAAACTTGTAAAGAGTGTGGCCCTGTGGAACTTATTTACCTAGCCGACAAAATTTAGAACTTAAAGTTCAAATTATCCTTTGGACTATAGTGGTTGATCGAATTACACCTCCGAACCACAATACCAGACATTCTTCATCCCTAACTGTGCAAACGGATAAATAACTCCCTCCCTCAATCCGTGGTGGTTTTGGTCCTACGTGGCAGTCCAGTTAGCATTTTTTTTATAAAAAAATTGGTGGGCTCCACTTATTAGTTTCTCGCCCTCTCTTTCTCTCCCTCTTCTCTTTCTTTCCCCAATCCCCCCCCTCTTTCTCTCTCTTCTCCCTCCCCTCACCTCCATCACCCACCGGCGGCAACGAGCCAAGGACAGTAGCATGCGGGGCGGAGCCTGCTGGGAGCGACGGAGGGGGGCCGAGGATGGCGACGCATGGGGGCAGCAGGGGGAAGACGAAGCAGATCGAGCGCCACTTCGCCACCCTCCGCTCCTGCCACGACGCCCTCCGCCTCCACCCTCACCAGGTCGCCGTCACCCTCCGCAATGGCTAGACCACGTCGCTGCATGTCGCCGCCGCGCTTCTTGGTGCCGCCACCATGGATGAGGCTGCTGCGGCGGCGCATGGGGTAGCATGACGCGGCTGACGGAAGGGTCATCGAGGATGGACAACATAAGCAGCTCGAGCTCCACCTTGACGGTGAGGAGCTCTTGCGGCGCCGCCCCCACCCCATGCGCTGCCACAGCAGCCGCTGCAGCCGGAAGCCTATCCAGCGCCGCACGCTCGAGCCCTGTAATTTTTCCCCTTCCCTTCTCTACTTCTCTCATTGACGCGGTGGAGGCGGTGAATGGTCTGTTGTCCTGGTCGTCGGTGTCGTGGCCATCCAACCACGCCCGCCAGCAAACGCGGAGCAAGCTCGGGCGACTGGCGATGGAGGCGGCAGGTTTGGGCGGTTGGCGGTGGAGGCGGAGACAACGTGTCGTCCTCGGCTCACCTCACCCGCATGCTCTCTCCTCTGCTCACCAAGAGAGAGGAGAAGGAGGAGAGAAAAAAAATCGCTCACAAGTAGGCCCCACTAGTTTTATTTTCTTTTGCTGACTATATCGCCACGTGTGTGTGCCACGTAGGCTAAAAACCATTTCGAATTGAGTTAGGGTGGTAATCTGTTCGGTCTTAAGAGTTTGGGGTGTCATATGTCCGGTTTTCAAATTTAGGGGGTAAATCGGTCAACCGCGATAGTTAGGGGGGTAGTTCGTACTTTTTCCTACGGAAATCCACTTTGTAGTTTGCACCATATTGAGTATTCTCATTCTCATCAAAACAATATATCTGTCAGTAAACCCACTACTGCAGAAGTGATCTTTGTTGGGTCGGCTGATTTTCACAATATATTAGAACCGGGACTAAATATTGTTTTTAATCCCGGTTAATTTTTTTTTGATCTTTAGTCTCGATTCATCCCCTGTCAGGGGGCCGAGGATCTTTAGTCCCGGTTGATACTACCAACCGGGACTAAATCTGTAGACTACCAACCGAGATTAAAAATTATTTAGATCTTTACTCAATCCATCTTCAGTCCCGATTCATAACTCCAACCAAAAGTAAATATTTCTCTCCCATCTCTGATCGGTTAAGTCCCAGAGGAGACTTTCCTCCTCACAAAGATATTTAGATGAGATTGGATCTAAGAGCCTCCAACTCCTCATATCCCTTCCTCCTCCTCCCCTCCCCTCTCCTCCTCCCCCTCCTCCCCTTTCCCTTCCTCTCCCCTCTCCCCCCTCCTCTCCTCCCATCCGACGGCCGGTGGCGGCGGGCAGGTGGCCAGCGGCGGCGGCCGGCGGGGATATAGATGTGACCACTGTTGCAAATGCCTCCTAGCATCCTTTCCATGATGTTTTCATGGCATTTTAGCTCATTTTCACCACCAGAAAATTAATTGGTAGAATTAGCTAGTCTAAAGAAAGACTAAATATCGCCTAAATAGAACCCAAAGCATATGTAGGTTTCAGTTGTTCGTAATTTACTTGCCAATTTCCTGAATCCTAAAAATGAAGTGATCATGATAGGGACTACCTATACATTTGTCGATAAATTTTTTCCCAAAAATTTGACAGATGTAATTATAGTACAATCGTAGTGTAATTACACTGTAACTTATATGTAATTACACTGTAACTTACACGTAACTACAGTGTAACATATATGTAAGTTTCACATAATTTTGAATCGTTAGATCTATTACAAGATTTATTTTGGTGAGGAAGAAAACAAATCATAGCACACACATGTGTGAAAGAATTTGTTCCCACGATCTCCATTTTACCGAAATAACATGTTACGGAGAGATTTTTGAAAGTTACATACAAGTTACACTATAGTTACAGTGTAATTACATGTAAGTTACAGTGTAATTACATTACGATTGTACTATAATTACATCTGTCAAATTTTTGGGGAAAAATTTGTCGACAAATATATAGCAAAATCGTCATGATATACCAGTAACCACATGAATATACTGGGACACAACGTGATGTACAGACTCATAATTACATCTCTTTGAATATCATGATACAAGAGTGCTAACCACATGTAGGCATCTTAGTCTCTCAATTACATAGCCGCTACATAGAGACCTCTAGTATTTCGGTGAGAATGTATTTCATATGGAAAAAGTACGAATTACACTCCTGAACTTTTATGGTTGACCGAATTTCCCCCCTTAACCCGAAAGCTAGGCATTACTCACCCTAAACTTTTAATACCAGACTAATTACCCCCCTCGACATTGTTCTAAGCGGTTTTGGCTTGTGCTTGCACACGTGGCGCTAACGTGGCAATCCAGTCAGCAAAAAGACTCCTTGGGCCCACTTATCATATCTCTCTCTCCCCTCTCTATCTCTCCCCGGTCCCTCTCTCTCCCAAGTGCTCTCTCTCTCTCTCTCTAACACGCGACTGCAGATGGGCTCGGGCACGCGGTTGTGGACGGGCAGTGGGCGGCGTTGCGTGGGGACGCGCGGTGGACGGCGGTGCGGGGGAGGACACAGCAACGGCGGGCGACGCCTTCTCGAGCTCTGCGTCAATGGCGACGAGGCCTGTGTAGGGGACAGCGGCAGAGCGTGGGAGGATGCAGTGGCGGCGGGCGGTGCCCTCTCGAGCTCCGCGTCAACGGCGACGAGGCCTGTGCAGGGGGTGGCGGCACAGCGCGGGAGGACACGGCGGTGGCGGGCTTCACCATCTCGAGCTCCGTGTCAACGACGCCGCGTCCACCCTCGACGACTGCGGCTTCGTCTGCACCACGGCGTACGCGTCAACGGCTCCTTGTCGTCGAACTCCATCCCCTCGAACGGGTCGACGCCGTCGTAGACACGGGCCCGCGCCGTGTACGCCGCCGCCGCCGCGAACCCAGCGCGAGCCGTTCCCGGCAATGTTAGCCTCCTACCCCTCCTCCTTGCTCGCCCAGCCGCGCTCGCAGCCGGCGCCGCTCGCTGAGCCGCGGTCGCAGCCGCCTCCGCTCGCCGAGCCGCCCCGCGCTTGCCGCCTCCGCTCGCCGAGCTGCGCCCTTAGCCGCCGTCGCCGCTCGCGTAGCCGCCCCCGCAGCCGCCGCCGCTCGCCCAGCCGCCTCTGCTCGCCGAGCCACGCCCTCAGCCGCCGCGTTGCCTTGCTCGCCGAGAAGACGAGAACGCCCGAGAGGGAGAGAGAGGGGAGGGGGGAAGAGGAGAAAGAAGAGGGGAGAGAGTATAGATGACAGGTGGGGCCCACCATTAAGAAAAAGAAAATGATGACTGGAGTGCCATGCATACGCCACGTAGGACAAAATCGCCCTGGATTTGGTCGAGGGGGGTAATTCGGTCAACCGCGATAGTTCAGGGGGGTAATTTGTACTTTTTCCTATTTCATATTTGCATCTATCTCTTGTATTTTTTCAGTGAATTTACAAAACTTTTAGGTCCGATTTTCACGAGTTTCCAATACTTAGCTCGTTTTCACCAGATATGTCCCCTGTAGAAGGAGGGAAAACATGTATACCTAAGAACTTGAAAAGCCATACAGTACAAACATTTAGCCGGATTTAGCCGAATAATTTGCACGGTGACTGACCATTATATATAGCTTGATTGATTTCTCGAGCAGAATAATCTGATAATTACAACATGTTTATTATCCATCAGTGCAAACCTGCAATGCGGGTGGCCATGGCAACGACTCGTACTGATAAGCCGGCCCGGGATACCAATTCCTGTCGTGCTCGCGTTCCACCTCCATCGTGTCCAGCTCGACGGAGAACATCCACGCCTTCTCCCGCGGCGTCACGAGGACGTACGCCGCGCTCGCCGCGACGATCATCGCCTCGCCGTGCTGGAAGAAGAGTCCCTCCTCGCGCCCCGGCAGCCCACGTGTCGCCTCCGGCAAGCTCACCGTCTTCTCCAGCACCCACTCGCCGCCGCCGGCGAGCTGCGTGAAGACCTTGAGATCGTTGTTTATCACGCGGACGACACGCAGAGCACCGTCGTCGCCGTCGCCGATGACACGGAAGGTGTACTTGTCATAGGGCGCCCAGACGTTCTCCGGGAACATCGTGATGGCGAATTCGGTGGTGCTCTCGTCGAGGACGAGCGTGGCGCCGTCTTCGTTGTCGATTCCCCAGTATATGCGGCCATTGGCGCGCCCCACGAAGGTGATGTGTTCGATCCAATGAGGTAGATCGACGTCGTCGATGGTCTCCCACTGCACCACCTGCCATGTGCCGTCGCCGCCGGAGCCGGAGGAGGAGAACATCATGGACATTGGCATGCCACGGTAGTCGAGCCACCTGTGGTGATCGAAGAGCACGGCGATGACCCTGAAATTCGACACGCCGCCGGTCGCGGCGTCGTCGTCGAGCAAGAAGACCCCGAGGCACATGAAGAACTTTAGGTTGGCCGGACAACGGATCACCTGGTACCGTCGCGTCAATGGCTCGCAGACGACGAGATCGGTGAATCGACGGGACGTCGCCACGCCGCCGAATCGTGGTCGCTTCTTGGAGAGGAGGAGGAGGCCGCCGCGGCAGTCGAGCAGCTCCCAGGAGTTGCGGCCGCCGTAAGGGAGGAAGTCGAGGGCGAAGCAACAGCTGTCACCGGCGGCGAGCGGCGTGGACGGGACGAAGACGAAGTTGCCGCCGGGCAGCGGGCGCCCGTAGGCGGGGTCGACGGTGCGGTACACCCCGGCGACGCGGTGCGCGCCGTGGAGCGTGCGGAAGGAGTGGAGGAACGCGGCGTCCGCGACGACGCGGCGCCACCGCCTGCACGACGCCGCGGCGCGGACGAGGCAGGCCGAGGAGTCGACGCGGAGGAGGATCATCTCGAGGACGTGGTCGGGGACGTCCTGCACGGTCGCCGCCGCCGTGAGCTGCTTCGTCGACGCCCTCTTCCTGCGCTGGCGACGGCGCCGCCGCCTCCCCCTCGCCATGGGAGTCGATCGAGAGTAGATCACACCGTGTTGTGATTTATAGTTGGCATTAGACTGTAAGTAAGCGTGCAGCGCCCTCCAAGTCTCTACTGGCTGTGTGAATGTAGTGTGCTGTTGAGTCAACGCGATCTGGATCCTAACGTGTTTTCCACGGTGCAGGAAATATGAGCTGTTGTTTGCTTAAATAATTGCCTGTGTAATACTCCATCCGTTTCTAAATGTTTGGCACCGTTAATTTTTTAGCACATATTTGACCGTTCGTCTTATTTAAATTTTTTTGAAATATGTAAAACTATATGTATACATGAAATGAAATTAAAGTATATTTAACAATGAATTAAATGATAGGAAAAGAATTAATGATTATTTATTTTTTTAATAAGACGAATGGTCCGGTATGTTTAAAAAAGTCAACGGCGTCGAATATTAAAAAACGGAGGGAGTATAAAATATGAGATTACGATATTAACTTGATATGATTGTTTGCAGTAGTTAAGCGCGAGAATGGGTCGTCGTCAAAGATGCTGCATATGCATGCCACATGCAGAGAAATTAGAATGCATGCATTTTTCCAAATTTTATTTGGTTTCGTATTCCCCTCCTTTCTCTCAATTTACTGTAAGAGTATCATCGAGAGTTGCCTAAAATTACATTTCCTAAATCTTTCTTTAAACCTGTAATGAGAATTGAAGAATAAAAGATACACTAGCTTCTTGGCAAAAGATAGTCTAAACTACTCCCCATTTTCATATTATAAATCGTTTTGATCTTTTTTTTTCAAGTTAAACTTTTTAAAGTTTAAACAAGATTATAAAGAAATTCAACACAAAACAAACATATAATTAAAATATATTCATTGTAACATGTAAATAAATATAGATGTTGCTATTTTTTCTATAAATTTATGAAATCAAAATAAATTTGAAATAAATTAAGGTAAGAAACCGAGAAAGTATAACAGAAGTCAATGATCGCCCCTCCTCCCGCACGATCACGTGTGGCCTTTATCCGCACAATTTGGTCACCATGTATTGGGAGCCAGCTCTCTCCCGGAGGGGGGCGGGCTTGAGAGAGAATAATTTACGATCGACTATCTTATTTGTTGCATGGTATGAATATAGAGGTAAGGATTTTTATACGGGTTCAGGCCCCTTTATCTGACAGGTAATAGTCCTACTCCCGTTGGTCGAAGCCGGTGTTGCTCTTTGTTCATCTGGATCACACAAGTATAATATTTGGCGGCATAGATAACCAACATGTAGTCGACGATATGGTAGTCTTCCTCCTTGAGTACGAACTCGTCGAGATCAGCGACTAGATCCCTCTTATCGGCATCCATAGGTGCCATATTGGGTTTGTCTATGCTTATCTCTGATGTTGATGTTTGGCGGTGTGTATTGGTGTCTATTCTAACTTGTGTGTTGATATGTTTTTGTTCATGTCCCCTTGTCCAAGTAAAACTAGGAAACCAATATGGATACAATCTGAGTAGTCCTTGTCGTTCCTATATAGAACTCTATTTGTCCTTCTTTATCCAGAACTCCTTCTATATATGAGGTATGATTCCGTATAAAACTTGGTATATGGTGAGCCCCGCCAAGCTTAGTTGATTACTATTGGGTATGTGGTATGCATAAATATGACACACACCACAATAAATGTGAAATAAATCTCCTCCGAATCCCCTCAATCCCCTTATGGGAGGGATTAAACGAACAAAGCCTTAGTGGTAATCTCCATCAAAATCGTATCTCCAAATGGGACTACCTATACATTTGTCAAATTTTAGCTAACAAATTTAACAGATGTAAATATAGTAGAATCACGATATAGTTACATTGTAATTTGCATATAACTATAGTGTAACTTGTATATAACTTTCAAAAATCCCTCGGTGACATATTATCTTCATGTGAAAACGAAGGTATAGTGGTACTGAATTCCCTCACATGTGCGTGGGTTAGGATTATTTCTTACCTCCCTCGCACAAATTTTAAAGCACCTTGCCAAAATTAGCACATACTATTTGGATTTACCAACAAATTAAATGGTAAGATTTATTCTCGTGACAAATCAACCATGTCCTTAGAGTCGATGTTAAGGTAAAAGTCTTGTCGCCCAGTCTTCTCAATTTTTCTTAAACTCTATCAGGCAACTCTACAGGCGCTTGTTACACATGCAAAGAATGTGGGTTTTAAATCTCCCGCTATAGTTGTTTGAGAAGGATTCTAGTTATTTGCTCTCATATACAATTTAGCCGCTATAGCTCTATTTAACCCGCTATAGTTACCACTATAGCTATTTAAGAAGCTAACCGCCAAATGTCTTAGCCCGCTATTTAAAACGTTGCATTTTATGCATATCGCTTAAATGGTATAAGATTTATTCTCGTACGTAGGTAAGATGATGACGAACAGCTGTCTAAATTCTAAAAAACTTTGTTCAAGATCGCTTCACTAGTGGCATAAATAATGACAAATTTCAAACAACTGAGGAATTTCCGGTTCGAACTGAGGACGGCATTTCCCCCTGAACTTTGAATTTCCAGATATGTGATTAATACCGGGCTGCACGAAGAATTTCAGTTAGTTGGCGCCTTGGCGGAACATAATTTGACACTGGCATGTTCTTGACACTTCACAGCAACATGTCCTCCCTCCGTACTCGTAAAGGAAGTCGTTTAGAACAGCGACACGGTCTCCAAAACACAACTTTGACTTGTTATTTCTATAAAAATATTTATTGAAAAGTGATATATGTATACTTTTATGAAATTATTTTTCAAGACAAATCTATTCATATAAATTTTACATTTTCAAACTCAACAACTTAAGAGTTATTCATGATTTATATTTCCAATGTTTGACTTAAATATTGTCCTAAAAGATTTCCTTTACGAGTAGAAAGGGAGTATAATTTTACACAGCTCAACGGCGTCGCCGTCTCCCACCACCGTAATCCGCACAAGCCTGCAACGCCGGCGGCCAAGGCAGCTCGTACGAGTAAGCCGCTCCGGCGTACCTGTTCCTCTCATGGCGGCGCTCCACCTTCCCCGTCTCGAGCTCCACGGAGAAGAGCCACCTCTTCTTCTCCTGCGGCGTCAGGAGGACGTACGCCGCGTTCGCCGCGACGATCTTGGCTTCTTGCCGGAAGTACGTCTCCCTGCGCCCCGGCAGCTCGCGTGTGGCCTCCGGCAGGCTCACTAGCCTCTCCACCACCCACTCGCCGCTGCCGGCGAGCTGCGCGAACACCTTGAGGTCGTTGCGCATCACGCGGACGACGCGGAGAGCGTAGCCGCCGTCGATGACCCGGAAGGTCCATTTGTCGTACGACGCCCGGATGGTCTCCGGGAACATGTCGATCGAGAATCGCATGGTGGCCACGTCGAGGACGAGCATGGCGCCGTCTTCGCCGTCGATTCCCCAGTAGAGACAGCCGCCGGCACGGCCTGCGAAGTTGATGAAATCGAATCGTTCCGGCAGGTCGACGGCGGCGGCGGCGGCGCTCTGCAGTACGCGCCACCCGCCGTCGCTTCCGGAGGTGAACACGCACGCCAATGGCACGGCACCGTCGTGCTGCCATGTGCGGTCGTGGAGAGCGGCGACAACTCTGAAATTGGACATGCCGATGCCGCCGCCTCCTGTGTCGTCGGCGTCGGCCGCGTCGCCGTCGAGCAGGAAGACTCCGAGGCATGGGTGTCTTCTGAAGTATACCGCAGAGGCAATCCCCTGGTATCGCCGTGTCAGCGGCTCGCAGACGACGAGGTCAGGGAAGCTGAAGCCGCGGGCGTCCGCCATTGCAGCCCACCTACCGGTGGATTTTCTCTTCTTGGAGAAGAGGAGGAGGCCGCCTCGACTGTCCACAAGCTCCCATGACCATGAGTTGCCGTCGTCGTAGTCCGGGAGGAAGTCAAGGGAGAAGAAGCGGCTTGCCACGCCGATCACCGGCGGCGACGACGGCACAAAGACGACAGAGCTGCCACCTGCCGACGGTGGCCACCCGAAGCTAGGGTCGACGGTGTGGTACCGCCCGGCGACGTGGCGCGCCCCATGGAGCGAGCGGAAGGAGCGGAGGAAGCCGGCGTCCGCGACGACGCGGCGCCACCGCGTGCACGCGGCCGCCGCGCGGAGGAGGGAGACGGAGGAGTCCAGCCGCAGGAGGATGACCTCGAGGAGGTGGTCGGGGACGTCCTCGACGGTCGTCATCACCGCCGCTGCTCCGTCCCCGGCCCCGGCCACCTTCATCGACGAGCCCCTCTTGTGCTTGTCCCTGCGCTGACGTTGGCCGCACCGCCGCCGCCGCTCCGTCGTCGCCATGGGAGGGGATGGTGGCATGCTGCCTCTCTGTGTTCTTCGTCCCTTGCGGTTGCTGTCCCGCGCGCGCTGAAGTAGAGGAGACACGAGAGTATTTTTCCCAGCTATGCGTGCCGCGCGCTCCAAGTCGTTGACAGCCTAGTGTTGTGTGCTGGACTGCTGGTCTAGTCAGCGCGGTTAGCATTTTAGGGAATTAATTAGTTAACTAAACTGGATTAGCTTATTTGTGCTTCTCGAAGATGCTTAATATGGGCCGTACAAAGCCCACGGCGGCCCATAATAATAGTTAGAAATGTCATAATAGGTGCGGGTGACGCCACGGCGGCGCCGGCGCCGGCGCCGGTGAAGGTCAATCAAGCTTTGAGATGGCATAACAGAGTAAACAGAGTCTGTTGTATACAATCATGGACAAATCCCTTCAGATTTCAGAGTGGACTCCACTTGACAGAATTTTCCATATAAATCAGCACAAATTTGAACATGAGGGTTGTTTAATCTGGCAAGATCTGCAGAACAAATTTGAACATCATTTTCCTTTTTTCTGTGAAAATCAAGCATTTTTTATTACCCCGGCTTACGAAGAAAGCAGTGGCGGACGCAGCTTTAATATATAGATGGGGCGGAGAGTAGAGATGTTCACTCGATAAGAGCAATCGAACATAATACATATCGTATTGGTAGTTCATTCGCATAATTGCCTTAATTTTTTAGGTGTTCACACTTTGTTATACCTAATTTTAATGGTTCATGACTACTATAAGTGGGTAAGGGGGTCTTGAGAGTATGGGGTGACACGAGTCGTAGCTGAGTCGGTCGATCCACTAGTCTTGCCGATAAGCTACATTAAGATTTCTTCTAAAGTCTAAAAACCAATCACCCGTGTTATACAAATCTGACACTAAGCTCGCCTGATTTCTATTGATGTAATAAAGCTGTGAGACACTTTAATAAATTGGTCACAACTCACAAATGTAAGATATTACCCTTGCCGGAGATGAAGAAAAACTGTGATTCTGCGCGCATAGATGTAGATATCAGCATCATCTCCTGCTGCGGCGTCTCCCAGCAATGCAAGCCTGCAAGACCGGTGGCCATGGCAGCTCGTACGGGTAGGCCGCGCCGGCGTACTTGTTCCTCACATGCTCGCGCTCAACCACCGGCGTCTCGACCTCAACGGAGAACAGCCACGTCGCCACCCGTGGCGTCACGAGGATGTACCTCTCGTTCGCCGTGACGATCCTTGCGTAGTGGTGGAACAACCCGACGTCGTGCCCTGGCAACCCACGGGTCGCCACCGGCAGCCTCACGAGCTTCTCCACCACCCACTCGCCGCCGCTCCCCTTGAGCTGCGTGAAGATTTTCAGGTCGTCGCCGATCAAGCGGACCACGCGCATCGTGCCGTCGTCGCCGCCACCGATGACACGGAAGGTTGACGGGTGGTATGACTCTCCGACGATCGCCGGGATCGTGACCAGCGAGAACTCTGCCGTGGTCTTGTGCAGAGCGAGCATGGCGTCCTTGCCATCCAATCCCCAGTACAGAGAGCAGCCCGCTCGCCCCACGAAGTTTATCAATTCGAGGCTTGGAAGTTCGACGTCGCTGCCGGAGTCGCTCTCGCGCCAGCCACCGTCGACGCCCGAGGAGAAGACGTAGGCGCGCGGGCGGGGCGGCGTGCCATGACCGTGCCAGTATCCGCAGTATGGCGTTTCGGGTTCGTAGACAGCGGAGAGCACCCGGAAGTTCGACATGCTGATGCAGCCGCCCGTCTCATCGGCGGCGGCGCCATCGATCAAGAAGACGCCGAAGCATATCCTGTAGGGAGAGTTCATCTCTTGTGGGCGGAGGATGCCCTGGTGCCGCCGCGTGAGCGGCTCGCAGACGACCATGTCGGGGAAGGAGGCATTCCACGTCTTCGGGTAGAGGAGCACGAGGCCGCCGCGGGTGTCGGCGAGCTTCCACCATGCGCGGTCGCCATCCGGCTCCGGCAGGAAGTCGAGGGAGAGGCGGCGGCGGTCGAGAGCGTCCGCCGGTGACGGTGAGCGCTCCGGCACGAAGACGTGGTTGCCGCCGCGCAGCGCCCCCGCGAAGGTAGGGTCGACGACGTGGTAGTGACCAACGACGTGGGGCTCGTGGAGGGAGCGGAACCGGGCGAGGAACCCGGCGTCCGCGACGAGGCGGCGCCACCGCTTGCACGCGGCCGCGGCGCGGAGGAGGGCGAGGGAATCGCCGAGGCGGAGGAGGACGAGCTCGAGGACCTCGTCGGGGACGTCGTTCACGCTGGTCGGCCCCGCCGTGGCAGCCTCCTTCCTCCACGCCTTCCTGAGCTTGACCTCTCGCCGGCGACGACTTCTCTCCGTCCCCGCCATGGACAGGCGATCGCCGGGGAGTTAGCTGGGCACGCGGATCGACGCCGGCCGAGCAGATCGACGTCCGGTAGGGGAGGCGGCGGCGGAATTGGGGGCGAGAAAACCTCTCGAACCCTCGGACTCGGAGGCGTCGTTTTTTCTTTCTTTTTATTTTTTTTTCCAATTGTATTGTGCCAAACCACGGGAATAAAATGGAAATTTTACGCGAAAACCGGCCGGCCGAAGCGGGCCATCCTCGTTCAGCCCAAAAGGCCGAAACTGCCATTCCAAGCGGGCCTCTGTTCCATGGACACGGCACGCGAGAGTTAGGGCCTGTTCACTTTATGCCATTTTTAATCTTGTCAAATTTTAATAAAGTTGTTAAAAATTAGCTACATTTAGTTTGCTGCTATATTTTAGTAACTGTATAAGAAATCCTGCTGAAATTTGGTAAGTTTTTTTTTTCATCAAAATGAACAGGCCCTTAATTTTGCGTCGTTTCTATGAAGGCGAAGCATCGGAGGGAGCGCCGCGTCACGGCGGCGGCGTCGGGTTCGACGACCGCGCGCGACGGCGGCGCCGGCGCCGGCATCCCCGACGCGCTCCTCGAACGGATCTTCCTCCGGCAGGACTCGGCCCTAAGCCTCATCCGCGCGGCGGCCGCGTGCAGGCGGTGGCGCTGGCGCCGCGTCATCGGCGGCAGAATCTTCCTCCTCCGGTTCCGGGGACAACATAGTTGGACCAGGACGGAGGCCTACACCGTCGGCAGCTACCACGTCGCCGACAACCCCAACTACCGGTGGCCGCGGCGGCGCCACGGCAGCGACGACGACGGCGCCGCCATCGTCGACCCGTCCACCGACTTCGACAGGCGGCACTTCTCCTCCCTCGACTTCATCCCCGACGCCAAGTCGTGGCATGTCGTCGACGGCGTCTCCAGCGTCGTCCTTCTCGCCAAGAAGAGGATCGGGTGGAAGCGCCGCTGCTTCCCCGACCTCATGGTGTGCGAGCCCCTCACGCGGCGGCGCCGGGCGATCACGCCGTTGCCGGAGATGAGGTCCCACCGCTGCCTCGGCGCGTTCCTGAAGCACGAGCGCGACGTCCGCGTCAACATGTCGAGGTTCACCGTGATCTGCGCGCTCTACGAGCGGTACGACGGCGGCGTGCCCGACGACGTGGGCACCGCCATGGGCTACTCGTTCTGCCGGTGCGAGTGGAGGCGGCGCTGGCAGTGGCGCGTCAGCAAGATCACCGCCAAGAGCGACGTCCATCTCCACGGCGCCGAGTCCGTGCGCTTCGTCGGGCGGCGTACTGGGCGATCAAGAACAGCGCCTCCATGCTCGTCCTCGTCGACGATTCCAGGTTCTCGCTCGACGCCCTCCCGGCCGGCCTCCGGTGGTCGTCCTCGCCGCAGCACGACGACGAGCCACCGTTCCATGTCGTCGATCACGGAGGCGAACCTTACCCGCCCTTCATTGACAGCCTCGCCGCGCGCATCGTCGGCTTGTCCGGCGGCGAGCTCAGGGTGTTCTCGCGCTGGCGAGACGAGGACGGGTGGGAGCTCCTGAATCGCGTCAGCTTGCCGGAGATCACCCGCGCGCCGCCGCCACATGCCGATCGGAACGACGACGATAGGTTCTCCTCCCTCTCCGGCAACGGCGTCACCGCCATTCTTGCATGCCGGCGGCCGTGTTGGGCAAGTGGTCCTGTGGCCGGCGCAGGGGAGGTGGGTGTTCACCGTCGAGCTCGACACCACGACGATAGAACGCAAGCACGCCATGGACGAACACGTAGGTGGTTTGGTATACAAGCACGAGATGCCATGGCCAACTCACCTTCAAAGCTTGCGTAGTTCGTTGTAGGAAAGAGGGATTACATTATTTAGGTAGCTGTTCTCACACCTGCACTTGTTAAGAAATGATATGGTCAAGTTCGTACTGTGAATGGCACGGTTGGTTGTGACCACATCTATGAAATTCAGTTTGAATTCGGACAAAATTTAAGACCACGACGTCGTATAAAATTTCAGATGTCGCCGTACCAGCAATCCAGCATTTTGCAACTAATTATTGTACACACACGGAACATTACACAAACACGAAGGCATATGCATATGTGTGATTGCATCAGCTAGCTATAGGCGAGTTGATTTGAACTAATCCGTAGCTAATTTTTCTAGGTGCGCGCCTGGTCGAGGCGGTGCTGGACCCAGTCCCCAACGTCGTGCGCCTTGGCGTCGAGCAGCGCGCGGGCGTGCTCCACCTTGCCGGCGCCGGCGGGCGCGTGCTCGCCGGACGGCGACTGCAGGTACCGGTACATCCACGCCAGCACGCCCACCGCCGCGGCGCCGAGCGCGCCGGAGGACGCGAGCCCGGCCGCCAGCAGCGACGCCGCGAAGGCGGCCGGCACCAGCACGGGGCTGAAGAGCACCAGCAGCGGCGTCGCCACGATCAGCGCCAGCGCTGTCCCCGTCGCCGTCAGCCCCGCCAGCGCCAGCATCGACCCCGCCGCCGCCGCCGCCGCGGCGCCCTTCGCAACGGACACGGCCGCCCCCGGCTTCTCCTGGTGCTGGCCGCCGTCGTCGCCGTACCCGTCGTCGCCGCGGATCACCCGCATGTAGTGTTCTCCGACGGCGCCTCCACCACCGGCCATGGGTACTACTGATCGACCTCAAGAAAATGTTGTGATCGATCGATCGATGCAGGGGAGGGAGATGATGATGATGGTATATAGAATGCGGCGGTGGTGGGGGAGGGTGGACATGTGGAGTGTGGCTGGGGTACGCGTGGCGAGGGGTGAGCTCTGCATGGATAGGCGATGCTTGGAAGCTTGGCACGTAGGCGCCAGCCTCTGCAGCCAAAACTAAGCTTGTGGCTTGTTCTGACGGTGATCGGACGCAGATCGAGATCCTGATGGATCGATCGGTCGAGTATGATTCGAGTTGGTGTGGTTGCTGCGTGGACGCCGACATGGATCTCTTCCCGGTAACCACGCGGTTATGGAAAAAAAAACACGATAATCTTCTTAAATTCAAATAAATTTTAAAAATAATTTAAAAAATTAATAAATTTTATAGGCTTTGTACTTTTTATCGTGATTACCACGCGGTAACTGTGCTTACTGTTGGGGTACGATAACCCCGGCACCAACGGTTTGAAAAACTCTGATCGTAAGGGGAATGCTCGGGAATTACGGGTAAAAATATATGTAACTGTTGACGGGTTTTAATTGTTCTTTTGACCATTTTTTCATATTCTGTGACTCATCAATAATAAATTTAAAAACTTTAAATAACCCCTACCTTTTAAAAATGTGAAACAATTACTATATATATGCTTTTAGAAGAACATTTTATCTGTTTTTTATTTTCTTTTTTTTAAAAAAAAGAGTTGTCCTCCTCCTCTTTGCCCTGTGCTTCGCTTCTCCCACCCATGTGAAAAAATCGGTGGAGAAAAACTGATCCTGCGCCCATTCCCTCCGGAAAAAAAAAACAAACTTCTCCCGGAAACCGACCAATTAAAAAAACACTAAAATATTAGGGGGTAAAAAAAATTTCCAAAATGATGCAAAAAAAAATACTGACAAAGCGGTTCCGTTGTTTTATCCCATGACTTGATGACATGAGTAATTTGCTAGCAATTTTCTTAAAAGATAGGAGTAATTTGCTTTAGTTGTTTTTAATTCTTTTGCACATTTTGATTTTTAATTCTAAAAATAACCTCTCAAAAAATTATTTCTAATCTGAACTTCCATGCCAGTTAGGTTGGCTACTGGCACGATGAAACAATACTATCTGGTATAACTATGCTAGTCGAGCTGACATGGCAGCGTTTTTATGTGACAAAACAAAGGTGTCACGTACCATGCATGAGATGCCACTAGTGCATTTTTTTTTTCATATTAGATGGGGTAGCGCTCCTACAGGGTTTAGATTTTACAATAAATTTTGGGAAAGTTTATTTTTAAAATAAATACAAATAGAAAGGTTAAAAATAATAAAACTTCACGGGCATGTAACCCGACGCAATCTTTGTGTCCTCTTGGCCCTCCGGCTAGATATAAGCTGGCACAATTTTTTGGCCCATGCAATTATTATTTGAATAGCCAAATCTCTTTCCTCTCGGCAATTGAAAGTCAAAACTGTTGAGATAATTATATAACTGTGACTATGCAGTTACTTATACAAACATTTTCGGTAATTGGCTTAGAGGGGTATCTAGGTCCATTAAGAAGATGATTCTAATTGGAGCTAGCGCTGTATGTTGGTCAATTTGGCGTTGTCGCAATGATAAAGTTTTTAATGGTAAACAATTATCTAACCTTATGCAGGTTATCTTCATGTCTTCCTACTGGCTCCACTTCTGGTCTACAGTGCTACCACAGGAGGAGCAGGATACTATGCGCAATGGTGCTACACTCTTAGAATTGGTAGCCAAGGGTCTCTTATTCCACTATGGGTGGCGTAGTTCCATAAGAATTGCTAGCTAAAATATTTTATGTGCTTTAACGCTAGTCAATAATAAAGGAGAGTTGGGGATTTGTCCCATCACCTTATTTCTCATTTTGATTTACTTTTATCTTACCTTTTTTTTACTATTAAACTTATGGTTGTGTGTCTTATGACAGAAGTCGGAGATGTAATCTATTTCCATTATCTAAAAAAAAACTGTGACGATTTTGCTATATATTTGTCGACAGATTTTTCCCCAAAAATTTGACAGATGTAATTACAGTACAATTGTAGTGTAATTACACTGTAACTATAGTGTAACTTGTATGAAACTTTCAAAAATCTCTCCGTAACATGTTATTTTAGTAAAATGGAGGTCGTGGGAACAAATTCTTTCACATATGTGTGTGCTATGATTTGTTTTCTTCCTCACCAAAACAAATTGTGTAATAGATCTAACGATTCAAAATCATGTGAAACTTACATATAAGTTACACTGTAGTTACATGCAAGTTACAGTGTAATTACATATAAGTTACAGTGTAATTACACTACGATTGTACTATAATTACATATGTCAAATTTTTGGGGAAAAATTTGTCGACAAATGTATAGGTAACTAAAGCCTTACTTTGTTTGTTTAGTTCTTCAAACCGCGTTCAATTTTTCAATCTTATTCATATTTTATATGTCCAAGTTAAAGCTGTATATATAAAAAAAATAATGCATATGCCATTTGCGTATTGGTCTCCAGCATTTTTTGAGCAAAAATCTTCCATACTTAGCTCACTGACACAATAGCTGTGACCTAGCCCTCCCAAGTTGTGAATACGAGTATAACACAAAAGAAAGACAATTGTACCAGCACAAAGGACCATGAACTAGTCTTGCATGTATTGTGCTGTGCATCAAAATCCTGGCTGCAAAGGAAGTTGTGACCATTAGGTTTTGTAATTAATTAAGGCGATGCATGCTTACTATTCCATTCCATTTTTATTTCTTCTTTCGGCTTTTTTTCATAAAAAAATATCTTTCCAAAAAGAATTATCCTTTTTTAAGTAGATAACGCTGTTGATTTTCGGTCAAACGCTTGACAATGTGTCTTACTAAAAGATTGATATAATTATCATTTATTTTATTGTAAGTTGTTTTATCACTAAAAGTAGTTTAAGAACGATTTATATCTGATGCATTTAAAAAAATTAAATTAAAACGAATGATCAAACATATATCCAAAAGTTAACAACGTAATCTATTAAAAAGACAGAGGGTGTAGTTTTTTTTTAATGATAAACTAGAAGATAGGATTGACAATTTTTCTTACTAAAAAAATTTACATAATTATCATTTATTTTGTTATGAATTGTTTTATCACTAAAAGCATTTTAAGCACAATTTATATCTAATGCATTTACACAAAATTTTAAATAAAACGAATGATCAAACGTGTATCAAAGAGTCAATGACACCATCTATTAAAAATGTGGAGGGAGTAGTTTTTTATGATAAACTAGAAGATAGGTCTATAGCTCACAATATTAATATTATGGCTTAAATAATTGGTTTTACGATAAGTTTGTCAAACTACAATAATTTTACGAAATTTAATAGAAGCACTACATACTCCCGCTACTATTTGAATATATATACACATTATTGACCGGAGTTTTATGAAGTCAAGAAAAGGCATTATTGGTTAGTGCAAATGCACTATGAGAAGAAAATATAGGAAACTAACACTTCTCTAGGAAAACATTGTAAAAGGATCATATGTACCCCTTTCAGATACAGCTTGCGAAGCATATCAGCTCCCATGTTCAACAAAAAAAAAGAAGCCGGGTCGTGTGGCTGCATGCCTACGTGATCGCCATGACCAAACAGTACACAACTAAGCTCGCACAACTCAATAGACGACGAGACCATGACCATGCGTCTATGTTATTGTGTCCTATACTATAAATAGGCTTCACCCAAGTCTACCTAGCTCAAGCCTCAGCTAGCTAGCACTAGATCGACTAGTAACTGGCTAGCTAGGTAAGGCAACAACAATGGCGATCATGACGAGGGTGGCGACGGCGGCGCTAATGGTGGCGGCCGCCGTACTGCTGGGGCTCGCCGGCGCCGGCCACGCGCAGCTGCAGAACGGGTTCTACAAGGGCAAGTGCGGCGCCAACGACGTGGAGGCGGTGGTGCAGGGCATCGTCCGTTCACGCTTCGCCCGCGACGCCCCCATCGTCGCCTACCTCCTGCGCATGCAGTTCCACGAGTGCGCCGTCAATGTACGTGGTGCACAGCACAGCTGCTCGGATGATTGGTGTGATCGTGGCTGAAGCTGAATATATCCATGGATGATCTTGCAGGGGTGCGACGGCGGGCTGCTGATCGACGGGCCAGGCACGGAGAAGACGGCGTCGCCGAACCTGAGCGTGAAGGGGTACGACCTCATCGCCGACATCAAGGCGGAGCTGGAGAGGCGGTGCCCCGGCGTGGTGTCCTGCTCCGACATCCAGATCCTCGCCACCCGCGACGCCGTCGCGCTCGCCGGCGGGCGGCCGTACGCGGTGCGCACGGGGCGGAGGGACCGCCGCCAGTCGAGGGCCTCCGACGTGGTCCTGCCGGCGCCGGACAGCACGGCGGCGCAGTCCGTCGCCTTCTTCCGCAAGCTCGGGCTGAGCGAGTTCGACGCGGTGCTCCTCCTGGGCGCGCACACCGTCGGCGCCACGCACTGCGGCGTGATCAAGGACAGCCGGCTGTACAAGTACGGCGGCCGCGCCGGCGCGACGGACCCGGCGCTGGACCCGTACTACGCGTTCGTGTACAAGACGTGGGTGTGCCCCAACGCGGCGGCGTCCGACGGCAACGTCGTCTTCCTCGACGACCAGTGGAGCGCGCTGCGGGTGGACAGCAACTACTACAAGCAGCTGCAGCGCCGCCGCGGCGTGCTCCCCTGCGACCAGAACCTCTACGGCGACGGCGCCTCGACGAAGTGGATCGTCAACCTGCTCGCCAACAACTCCGACCTCTTCCCGTCGCTCTTCCCGCAGGCGCTCATCAAGCTCGGCGAGGTCAACGTGATCACCGGAGCTCAGGGAGAGATCCGCAAGGTCTGCAGCAAGTTCAACTAATTATTAACTGATTTGATCGCCATTAATTCTTCGTTTCGCTTCGTCGTATTATCCGTCTCAATTTTCTCTTTAACTTGTTGTCCGCTTCTACTGAGTTTTGATATGATCATGGTCGATCTAATGCTTCCACCTTTCTTTCTTTTTTACATTCTTTTTTGTTGAGCTGATGTTCGATTTATTTAATCAGTATGTAATTTTGGCTGTAACAACATGTACAACAGGTTTAGTATGATGGAGGAAAAAAATTGAAAATATACTTTTATTTTTTATATTTTGCATTTATATACCTGTCTGAGATTAATTTGCAAAAATATATCTAATCCACGGATTGGTTGTGCGGGAGCGAGGACGAACCGTAGACTCGAGTCGGTCACGCGGAACCGAGATGCGCGACCGAATCGGTCCCGCACGGCCAGACTGCGGGACCGAGTCGGTACCGCAGCGCCGATACGCGGGAGCGATGGGGACGTCAGCTACGCGGGTGAGCGCGGCGGTACCGCATAACAGCGACGCAGGACCAGCGCGGTCCCGCGGTTCTAGCGCGTGGTACCGAGAGAGTCTCGTGTTATTCCATGTTAATCCTCCAATTTTTTCCAACACATCTTCTTCAATTTTCCACGCGTACGCTTTTCAAACTGTTAAACGGTGTATTTTTTGCAAAAAGTTTATATACTAAAGTTGCTCGAAAAAAATCATATTAATCCATTTTTGAAAAAAAAACTAATAATTAATTTTTCACGTGCTAATGTACTGTTCCGTTTTCCGTGCAGGACATGTATTCACAATGTGGAAAGGACGGAGTGGCAGTCCTGCGCATCCGCCATGCGGGAGAGAGGGGCCGGTCCCGCGCATCCAATATGCGGGAGCGATCCGGTTCCTGTGTTATTCCCCTAATTTTTCCAACTCATCTCCTTCCTTTTTCGCGCGCACGCTTTTTAAACTACTAAACGGTGCATTTTTTACAAAAAGTGTTTATACGAAAGTTGCTTAAAATAATTATATTAATCCATTTTTTTTAAAAAAATTAACTAATAATTAATTAATCACGTTCCAATCTACTGCTCCGTTTTCCGAAGACGCGTGCGGGAGCCACGGGGAGCGCTCGGCATGCAAACCACCACGGTGCCGCCCGCCTGTCCTACGGGACCGGCGCGATACCGCATCCCCAGCTTGCGGGACCGGTCGCTCCCGCACACCTATTCTGCGGATTGGGTATATTTTTGCAACTTAATCTCGGACATGTATATAAATGCAAAATATGAAAAATAAAAATATATTTTCAAATTTTTTTCTATTATGGAGGCAAATTTCAATAAGAAAAATGACTGAATTGAGACGTGCTCAGCTCCATGAACTGAATTGTACTGTTTGATACACATTGTCATGTGCTCTGCTCCATGAACAAAAAATCGATGTATTCGAAATCCTTCCTCGGTTTGTTTTAAAAATCCTTGCTGTGCTTACCTTGTTCTATTATTGCAGCAGAAAAATGTGTTTCGAATTAATAACTAAATCCAAATAATTAATACTCTCTTTTTTTTTCAATAGATAATGCCGTAAACTTTTGAATATACCTTTGACTATCAGTCTTATTTGAAAAAATGTATAAATATGTAAAAGTTAGGCTTAAAGTGTATTTAATGATAAACAAACTGACAATAAAAGAAGTGGTAATTACATATTTTAATAAAATATTTAAATAATACAAATGATCAAATATGTGTTCAAAAGTAAATAACGCCATCTATGAAAAACGGATAGAGGATGTAACTTGTGACTCTCCTTTTTAAGCCTATGTGGTGTGACTTAACTATAATTTTTATTAGAATTAGTTTAACAAATATAATGATTTTATGATATAATGAGCTGGTCGTGGGAGGGCGATCACTCACCTCGCCACTAGCTTCTATTAAAATACTACATATATATGATATAAATGCACGAGCGGTTTTTAAACTTGTAAAGGTGTGTTAGGTAGGTTTCCAAACTCCCAAAACACATTTTTCGTCCATAATCTTGCTTAGCCGTATATGGCTTGTCTAAACCCCATTTGACTTGGTCTACTCATCGATGTGGCTAGCCAACGTGGAGGAGAGGAGACAGCTGGGGGGAGGGGGGAGGGGGGAGGGGGGAGGGAGAATATGCATCGAGTCCCTTATTTTTTCGCCAACCCTCAAACGCGGAATCCTGAATTCCCGTTATCCTCAGCGTGGGAAAGATCGATGAAGCGGGCGATGCATAGGCGGGGTGGTGATCATCAGCTATCGCTGGCGACCAGAGAAAATCGATCGTAGGAGTGGTTGAGGGGGTGGGGGAGCGACTCGGTCTGCACCTATCGATGGATGCTGACAGTGGTGAATGGTGGCGAGATTGCAGCAACTAGGTGGAGACATGCCCATGCATGATGCGTAAAATCAACGCTTCACGGTGTGCAGTGGCATCGTGACAATAGTAGTATAATTAGAGGGGAGTGGATTCTAATCCCTCGAGGGGATATCCCCTTGTATACATTTTTCTTCTAAATTCGATGCAAATAGTTGCGAAAAATTCTGAAAAAAATTGACAATGTAGAGTATAATAATACCTACTAGTCTACCAAAATTCATGTTCAAATTCGATCTACACATCGAGAAAAAAAAAGACAAATTTATATAAACAGTACGCTACTATTCATACGCTGAATTTGTCTTTTTTATATCTCGACGTGTGAGTTGAGTTTGGACTTAAGATTTTGTGGAGTTGTATATATGTGTTGTATGAATGTTGTCAAATTTTTCCAGAATTTTTCATAACCGTTTAGATGGTTTTTGAGCAAACGAGGGAACATCCCCTCGAGGGATTAGAATAGTTTCCCTAATTAGAGTGATAAATAAAAGCAATCAAATAGCCCTGCATATATTTTGCTAAATAGCATAGTACTGTGCCTAGACATGCACGTTCCTTTCCAGGAAATAAAGGCTGCGTTTAGTTCTTGGAATTGGGGAGAAGTTTGGGGAAAGTTGGTAGTTTGGAAAAAAAAGTTAGGAGTTTATGTGAGTATGAAATTTTTGGATGTGATGTGATGGAAAGTTGGGAGTTTAGGGGAAGTTTGGTGTGAACTAAACAGGGCCAAAATGGCACGAAAGAAATGTGTCAGATTGGCAAGCCACGTCGGTGAGCAGACCAAGTCAAATGGGGTTTCGACAGGCCATGTACAGCTAAGCAATATTAGGGATCCCAAAATGTGTTTTGTGAGTTTGGGGATCTAGATGATATACTCTTTCAAGTTTGTGGATCGCTGGTGCACTTTACTCTATGACATAGATGATTGATCTCTCACCATCAATTTTCGACGTGAGACTAAACCCAACACATAGCGAGTGGCAGGGTGACAACAAGGTAATAAATTGCGTACATATCGTCTGCAATAGCGATGCTATAGTGGCAATGGACCTCTACCACTTCCGCTACAATATAACATATCGAAGATAGTGTATTGGAACTTAGCGGCCGCTATTGGCTTTGTTGACCTCTATAGCGCTTAAACAACGTTCTACACATATTGATTGGAGCACTTAGCATTGTGTGTCTTCTTTATCTTATTCATTTATATGTTATTTCATAATTTTCATGCTATGAAATGTATGAGTAATTAAGTATGTATTCTAAATTTATAAATTTTTAGTGAAACTTGATGCTAATATTGATATACAATCTAACTGCATGATTTTTTATTTTTGAATTTCACTATTGAAACTTAGTGTCCGCTATCTACAATCCGCTACTTAGACACCTAATCCGCTACCAACCCCACTATTTTATTACCTTGGGTGGCAGCCCTCCGATGCCACTTTGCACCTAGCCGTGGACTGGGGTGGAGTCACCGTCCGGCTAGCCTGAGCGACGAAAACTCCACTGAATTTTAATATTGATGTGTAAATCAATGATGAAATTTATATAGCAAATACTACTAGAGCCAAGGCTAAAACATTTTTCTGGTTCCACCACTCACCGTAAAAAAGTGTGCAATTTAGCAGCTCGAGAGGGGAAGCAAAGGTGATCAAATTAAACAGCAACCATCCAATGGTATATAAGAGCTAGTGAATTTCACTTCCAAATTATTTGATACTTCAAATCATACATGCATACAAAACTTGGTGTACATGCGTGCATACGTTATTGCATCGACCAGTATGTCACGGTTAAATTAAATGAATCAAACGAAAGTTAACAAAAAGATGGCAAGGGCATAACCGCATAATGCATCGATCATATGGATATCTGATGATCATATGAGGAGAACAAAAAATAGGACGAACTGTACGATCGAGCACCGAAGAATGGCCATCAAATCAGTTAATTAATTAGTTGAACTTGCTGCAGACCTTGCGGATCTCTCCCTGAGCTCCGGTGAGCACGTTGACCTCGCCGAGCTTGATGAGCGCCTGCGGGAAGAGCGACGGGAAGAGGTCGGAGTTGGCGAGCAGGTCGACGATCCACCGCGTCGAGCCGTCGCCGTAGAGGTTCTGGTCGCAGGGGAGCACGCCGCGGCGGCGCTGCAGCTGCTTGTAGTAGTTGCTGTCCACCCGCAGCGCGCTCCACTGGTCGTCGAGGAAGACCACGTTGCCGTCGGACGCCGCCGCGTTGGGGCACACCCACGTCTTGTACACGAACGCGTAGTACGGGTCCAGCGCCGGGTCCGTCGCGCCGGCGCGGCCGCCGTACCTGTACAGCCGGCTGTCCTTGATCACGCCGCAGTGCGTGGCGCCGACGGTGTGCGCGCCCAGGAGGAGCACCGCGTCGAACGCGCTCAGCCCGAGCTTGCCGAAGTAGGCGACGGTCTGCGCCGCCGTGCTGTCCGGCGCCGGCAGGACCACGTCGGAGGCCCTCGACTGGCGGCGGTCCCTCCGCCCCGTGCGCACCGCGTACGGCTGCCCGCCGGCGAGCACGACGGCGTCGCGGGTGGCGAGGATCTGGATGTCGGAGCAGGACACCACGCCGGGGCACCGCCTCTCCAGCTCCGCCTTGATGTCGGCGATGAGGTCGTACCCCTTCACGCTCAGGTTCGGCGACGCCGTCTTCTCCGTGCCTGGCCCGTCGATCAGCAGCCCGCCGTCGCATCCCTGCATGATCATCGATCCATGGAGATGTTCAGCTTCAGCCACGATCATATCAATCATCCAATCACCTAGAGATTGGCAGGTACATTGACGGCGCACTCGTGGAACTGCATGCGGAGGAGGTAGGCGACGATGGGGGCGTCGCGGGCGAAGCGAGCACGGACGATGCCCTGCACGACGGCCTCCACGTCGTTGGCGCCGCACTTGCCCTTGTAGAACCCGTTCTGCAGCTGCGCGTGGCCGGCGCCGGCGAGCCCCAGCAGTACGGCGGCCGCCACCATTAGCGCCGCCGTGGCCACCCTCGCCATCGCCATTGTTGTTGCCTTACCTAGTCAGTTAGTAGTCGATCTAGCGCTAGCTAGCTGAGGCTTGAGCTAGGTAGACTAGGGTGAAGCCTATTTATAGGAGATTATGTATTGTTTGTGTCATGCGATGACATGGTCTCGACGTCGAACTGTATTATTGCGAGCTTAGAGCTTTAGTGATAGTTTACTGTTGTTTTGCTCATGGCGACCATGTAGATGTGCAGCCACGATCTTACTTTGTTTTGCTCATTTGTTGCTAGCTGTGCCTGAAATAGTATGATCTTTCTTAAGTCTGTGTCACATTTTTTATCTTAGAAAGGAGTTTCCTAGATTGGTTCTTCATTGGTGGCTCTGCACTAAGCAATGCATGTGTTTTAATTTCAACACTCTTCACTAATCATAAGATGTCTCTTCCTTCAAAATAAAAGAAAACTAAGCACAAAGTATCGATGGTGGGATGAAATCATTAACATTTTCTTGCAGACTGGTTGCAACATGCAAATAGTATAACTGACGACCCTTTGGTCTTCGGAGAAGGATGTGAAGCAGAACAGAAGGAAGACTTTGCTCCAGGGAAGCCGGATAATTATATAGGCACAAGTGGTATATTAATTGTTTTTGATATGTAAAGCGTTAATTTTTGGCATATCTAAAACTATATGAACGCGGTTTTCATAGGGAATTAAACAAAGAAAACAGGTCTTTATTTTGACTTTTGAGATGGAACGGCTTTGACTATGCAAATAATATTTAATTTATATGGGCCAGCAAAAGAAGCCCATCGTTTAACAAGGCAATGCACAAGATTCTGCCCTTCATTGGGCTGTAAGCATTCTTACGTCAACGGTGTAAAGCCGAAAGTTGATCTTCTCTGCCTTAGAAACTACTCCCTCCGTTGGTGTAAAAAAAAAAACACCGTTTAAACATTCTTAGCGTCTAAAATTTGTACTACATAACTGTAAGTATTTTTATAGTATTCTACCTCGTCCGAACCGCACATCATTAAATTATTCTTATTTAACCACACGCACATTCGATCAGGATAAATATAGCTCTCTAGTTTTTCACGTGCACGTTTTTCAAACTGCTACACGGTGTTTCTTTTATAAAACATTTCTATACGAAAATTGTTTTAAAAAATCATATGATCCATGTGTTTAAATAAAATAGTAAATAATTAATTAATCACACGCTAATGGATCGTTCCGTTTTTCATGCCGAATTCCACCTTCCGAACACAGCCTATATCTATGCTTCACTTGAAGCAAAACCGGTATAAAAGTAGGGGACTACCTAGATATCACTTGAAAGATTTTTTTTAATAAAAATCACATGTATGTAATTACATCGGTTGTATGTACTTCCTCCGTTTCATAATGTAATACTTTCTAGCGTTGTCCACACTCATTTAGATGTTAATGAATCTAGACATATGTATGTGTTTAGATTCATTAACTTCTATATATATGTGGACAATGCTAGAAAGTCTTACATTGTGAAACGGAGGGAGTAAATCATAACAAGATTGATAGCTGCGCATCATATGGTCAGGAATTCATGTGATAGCTAAGAAAGAAAAAAAAATCTGTCGAGTGATTTATAGATAGCAAATATGTAAAAGTACTTCATATATTGACAAGAAAAGGAACGGTAGATGCTTAAAAGCCCAACCAGCTTGGTCCAATAATCAAGAGCCAAGCCCACACAGGTTTTAGCGTGTTATAGGCCTAATATCGGGCCCAAAAGTAGCCATATGTTGTATCGAAGGGGAGTAATTTAGCTATATACCACTTAATATATATACCACTTAATAGAGGTGGCTTTAATATAATACCACCCTTTAATATGTCCTTATAAAAATATTACTCAATAGAGGATGCTTCTTAATAAAATACCACTTTGGGCTATTTTGACGCTTCTAATTAGAAATAGCGTACGAAATGACAAAAATACCCTGATCAGTGGCATATAGTTAATGGTTTGGGATACTTACCAGCGATTGGAGCAGTGGCTGCGGCCACCGGTGGAGCCGTACTTGCCGCCGGCAACATTATTGCTCGCCACCAACGTGCACACGATGGCATCGCCGGCGGCGGAGACCTCGCCGCCGTCCACACCCTCCCTCCCCCACTGCCTCTTGCCCCACCCTGCGGCCGGCGGCGGTGAGCGCCAGTTCGTGAAGGCGCTCCTCGCCGATCCGGCCGCCCCGGACCTCAACGCTGTCACCACCGGGGGGGTGGGGGGAGGCAACACGCTCCTCCACATGGCCGCGCCGGGAGGGCATGCGCCGCTCGTGTGTCTCCTCCACCGCGAACACGGGCTCGACACCCGGCTCCACCTCACCGCTCGCGTCGGGGCGCAAAAGGTCATCGCCGCATCCTCCTCCTCCGTCGCCGTGGCGGCCTCCCCCCCTCCCCTCCCTCCTCATCCGGGCCACCAACAGGTGGGCATGTCAGCCAGCATCGGCCAAAGCGCAAGTGCCACGACCACGCGCACTCGGAGAACGTCGCCAGTGACAAGTACGGCTCCACCGGCGGCCTTTGCCATTGCTCCAATCGCCGATAAGCATCCAAAACCATTAACTATATGCCACCGATCCGGGGGTATTTTTGTCATTTTTTACGCCATTTCTGATTAGAAGCCTCAAAATAGCTCAAAGTGGCATTTTATTAAGAAGCATCCTCTTTTGAGTGGTATTTTTATAAGGACATTCTAGAGGGTGGCATTATGTTAAAGCCACCTCTATTGAGTGGCATATAGTTAAATTTCCCGGAAGGGAGGCTCCCTACTGACACTTATAAATACCGTACCTACTTCCCGTTACAATTTTTGTAAAACTTCAATGGCAAAATTCATTCAGGGCCTATTCGTTTTGTAGGAATTTCAACATAAAGAATTAGGAAAAGTGAAGGAATAGAAATGCATTCACACTTCAATCCATAGGATTTTTTCATGAGGTTTGTGTGGATGGAAAATTTCTTTTGTTTTATCTCTACAACTTGTAGGAAAGAAAATTTCCTTTGGTTTTCCTACATCTACCTTCCTATGAACCGAATTACATTCATAGGAATTAATCCTTAGGAATCCAAATCCTTTCAAATTCCTCCAAAATGAATAGGCCCTCACTTTTCTCATACCTTCAGTGGCAATCCAATTGCCCTCATCACTCCTACTATTAATTATTCAAAACAGAGTCCTTTCTTTCATAGGTAAAAGATTAAAACAATAAATTAGACTAACATAAACATGACATAAATTTCCAATTCATTATAAAGTACAAAATCACATGTATAAGTATTCAAACATAGACTAAAATAGAGTAAAATAATATACAATGACAAAATAACAGTTAAAATGAACTAATATTGCACACTAGCACTGCAATTTACGCTTAGCAATGCTTTAGGTGACTGAAAAAGTAGCACATCAGATATAGCAAACTGATTAGGTTAGTGCATCCCAGTAATTTATAAACGACACACCATCCCTATAAGGAGCTAAGCAACTTTTGGAAGAGGATATAGGAGTATTGATGATGTGGGGGCAAGAAAAAGAGGAGAGAGTTATATGTGTTATTTATATTATTACATTATTGTTTATAGATAACACCATCCAAGAGTGTGTTAAAAAATATGCGACTGAACATGCCCCCAAAATTAGGGGCCCCAAATTTCTCATATTTTAATCTATGCCAATGCATTCTAATATGTTTAAAACATTTTTGTTCCATTTTTAAAAAAGTTTTTGACTCTTATTCTTTTGTTGATTTGTCTAGAATAGACTTGATTTCTTTGACTCTGATAGTTCGATAGTAATCGTGATCACCTCAAATAGTTATGCATGGATCATGATGATGATATGAATGTGTGTTCCAAATATTAAAGTTTTTATTTTTTCGCTCAATAAAAAACAAAAAATCACTATATCATCACATAATTTTTTTTCAAATATTTATTTTAAAAAAATTCTTACATCTTAGGTAGAGCGCCACCACACTTTTATTCTTTTGTTTCTTAAAAATCTTGTAAATATAGTGCCTCAATTCATATTTCTCACCAAGCCCCTGTTTATAGAATCAAATATGTAATTATATGGATCATTTGCATATAACTAAGTTGTCAACTTAATTACGAGTTGTATGCACATATTGTATAAGTATGTTATGAAAAATCTATACAGATAGTACTAAACTAGCACTAAGGAGGGTTGGAAATTTCGGTCCGAAATTTCCGAAATTTCGGTCATTTCGGTCCCCTCCGATACGATATTAGTTCGGCCAAAATTTTTCAATTTTTTAAATTTTTCATGAATTTGGATAATATTTATTCAAATTCAACAAAATTTTACTCAAAAATTCGGAAATTTCGGACCGAAACTTCCGAAATATCGGTATTTCGGTGCCCCCCGATCAAAAGTCCCAAACCGAGAAAGTGAACCCTGGCACTAAGTAGGAACCACGCATGATCTCAGGTTAAATCGATCAAGGGAACGATGGTAAACATTAGATCCAAACAAGAGCTCCAGGTTGTAAGAAAGCAACGGCTAAATGCATCATAATATGCAGTGTCTAGAATATTTATTTAATTATCTGAAAAAATGGTAGGGAAAGCAAGCAAGCCTCACCAACTTTTTGCTCGCTTTAAATTTAAAACAAGCAAGATCGATAATAGGCATCATCTGCCTTTTTGTTTTCTTCGAAATATATGATTTGAAGTTCATCACACTGGCCTGCCTGCATGAGTATGAGAGATATATGCACATTAGCTAGAGGTTAGACCATTATGGTTGCAATTACTATAGGTGCATGATATGGTTGCAAAAGAAACGTTGCTAGTTATTGGCAAAGGCCGGGCCTATATAGCTAGTACCATATGCATCATGCATGGTGTGAGTTGAATAATTGGATGCCGACAAGGTAGGTTGAGTGAACCCCAACCTATGAGCACTTGTGTAATTGTCCATCTAATTTTGCTGACCATCAATAAATGTTTTAGCTAGCTACCTTGCTCTTTTCCTTAATTTCTATTTTATTTTGTACTTATGCATCTCTACTACACTAAGAGAAGATTAAGGATACGCAAGCTCAAAAAAAAATACGCAGGATAGACATGAAAACAAATGCCTACATGCCGACAGGCGCACGAACAACAGCAGCATCATAAGTATGTGAAAGATTGCACCATCAGCTAACCAAATAAGTTGGACCAAATCCAATTAGTGAAAGTCACCAACTTGCACTGTTTGATCCCCCTTACCCAAAGTAGTTCAATTGAACCATATATGTCCTACAAATTAAGCTTGCAATAAACTTTGATCCAGGACCAGTATCAGGAAAAGGTACATGATCCAAATATCTCGTGTTAATAATCTTAATTGTGGTAAATTTTCAACCATTTTACATCCATTGGTGGTATACATGATTTTTCCGTGGGCATGCACAGATTAGCTATCGAGTTTAGGAGTACTACTTGTTTTTATCAACTCACTGCAATTAGCAAGTCTAAAGCAGGGTGTGAAATACTTCTGACTGCTATCGTAAGGAGATATGACTGACATGTCTACTTAGCCCCGACAGTAACAAATACAGTAACAAATTACAAGTGGAGTTTTTAGTGAACACAGCACATGAGCATAATGTAATCATGTATCACTATCTTAGAATCCAGGAAAACCTTTCCACATCTTGTCATTTTTTAAAGCATGAAATGACGTCTACAAGAGTAACATGATAAACAAGGTCCTACCTGAAGCTGAAAGCCTGAAACCACCTTTGCATGCAGCTGGCCCAGGCATGGGGACAATGATCCTATCTGCACTGTGGTTGACAGGTGGGCCCAGTCTCACATGTCAGCGATAGATACTACTCCCTCCGTCCTTAAAAAAAGACAAACCTGGTTTCCGTGTCCAATGTTTGACAGTCCGTCTTATTTGAAAAAAATATGAAAAAAATTAAAAAGACAAGTCACGCATAAAATATTAATCATGTTTTATCATCTAACAACAATGAAAATACGAATTATAAAAAAATATATAAAACGGACAGTTAAAGTTGGACACGGAAACTCAGGGTTTGCCTTTTTTTTTTTTTGGGACGGAGGAGTACAAATGCATTCCCCATCGCAGGCATGGATTGCTGTTTTCCCCAGCTGATTGACACGTGTGAATTGAAAGCCAGCAAGGCCAACTGCCCGTGGGAAACAGGTTTGAATGCAGAAAGACCAGGCCGTTGTTTACTGCTTGTGTATATCCGGCATTCCTCTTCCTATCCAGTATTCAGAGAATTTAGACAAGCAAAGCTCTCGTTTTCATCCAGAAATTCAGATATGGATCAGCAATACCAGTTTTCAGGTGCTGCCTAGCCGCTGTTCCTGACAAGAAAAAAAACAAACTGTGGCTCACAGGAAGTGAACATCAACAGCCTCGTTGTTTCGCTTATACTTATTATAAGTAACAATATGTATTAACGATTAAGAAAATATTTACGAGTAAAACTTGTATATACATATTCTTAACAATTTAAAAGAAAATAAACTGCGATGGAAAAAGAAAGCAAAAATTTAAATTTTCGGTTATGCTTATAAGGATGGAGGCTAAATAATAGTTATAGATATAGAGGAACCAAGCGTTAAAAATTCAAACTAAGAGTGTGTTGCATCCATAAGCAAGCACCAAGTGTTAAAACTTCAAACTAGGAGTGGCACAAAACAATTGAACTGTTATAGATACAGAGGAAATTAGTGGTAGGGAGGGACCCTCAGAATTGACATATACTCCCTCCGTTTTTTAATAGATGACGCCGTTGACTTTTTCTCACATGTTTGACCATTCGTCTTATTCAAAAAATTTACGTAATTATAATTTATTTTGTTATGGGTTGTTTTATCACTCATAGTACTTTAAGTATGATTTATATCTTATACATTTGCATAAAATTTTTGAATAAGACGAATGGTCAAACATGTGAGGAAAAGTCAACGGCGTCATCTATTAAAAACGGAGGTAGTATATGCAAAGGTAATATAAAACCTGGTAACTGAACACAGGATGGAAACTCTGAATAATGAACGGTTGCATGCAGAGTACTACCTGCTTGGAGGCAATAATGTAAGCGTGTAAGGCTCACTGTGGGCTCCTCCTCTGCTTGATCCCCCTTTCCTTCCGGCCTCCTCCTCTGCTTGATCATCCCTATAAATACAAAGGGCGTGCACATGGAAAAGTATCACGTAAGCACACAAAGACACTAGTAGAAAACACCTGACGAACGACTCTGAATCTGAAGCCATGTGTATAGCTGCATGGGTTTGGCAAGCTCACCCACAGCACCAGCTCCTCCTGCTGCTCAACCGGGATGAGTTCCATAGCAGGTATACATGATGCAGTACGATTTCACTCTAGTTTCGTTTTTGGGATTCAGCTTTTCTACCTCCTGAATTACATGTTGCACTCTGACGATGCTGTTCTTGGTGAATTGAGTGTGCTGATTTAGCTCTGACGAATTGGTGCAGGCCAACCAAGGCAGTAGGATGGTGGGGGGAGGGCTCGAAGAAGATTCTTGGTGGTAGAGATGTTCTTGGTGGAGGGACATGGATGGGTTGCACAAAGGATGGCAGGCTCGCCTTCCTCACCAATGTGCTCGAGCCGGACGCCATGCCGGGGGCGCGCACAAGGGGAGATCTCCCCCTCAGGTTCCTGCAGGTAATAGCAAAAACACATCAGTCAAAAAGCTTCTTCCAGATCATTCAAGTTCATCTGTCATTTTAGCTTAGTGTTTGTTTGAGTCGAAAAACAGTCAATACATTGAAGATAAGGACAGAGAAAAGAAGGGTGTATTATATTCCCATTTTGCACAACCCAATTTGGTCTGAAATTCTCCCTTTGTTTTCATGTCGCAATCACTCTTTAGAAGCTAGTATATAAGGTTGACATCTAACAAGTGTCTATTCCCTTTTTGGATTTGTTGTACAGCTTACGTAAGACAAGGCTTTAATGTTTATATAGAAAAAAAAATCTATAGTAGTCCCTTCTGTTACAACTGCTGTAAACCACAGATTCAGTTATTAATAAACAATACCTTTGACTTAGCATTGTGCAATAGTAACCCACAGAATATGACCTGTGCAGAGCAACAAGAGCCCACTTGAAGTTGCAACTGAGGTGGCAAAAGAAGCTGACGAGTACAACGGCTTCAACCTTGTACTGGCTGATCTGACCACAAACGTCATGGTTTATGTGTCAAATCGGCCAAAGGGGCAGCCTGCAACGATCCAACTTGTCTCACCAGGGCTCCATGTGTTGTCCAATGCAAGGCTAGACAGCCCTTGGCAGAAGGTAATTAAGCAGGCTTATGCCAATATCATGTTCAGCTGAAATCTGCATGACAGATTAACTCTCACAGTGCCTCATAAATGTAAATGCATAGGATGAATGATGCTGCTTGATGCAGCCTGAAAGAATGTCAGTAGCAAGCTAGAAATATTGATTGTCCATTCAAGTGTCTGTCGGTTATGAACTTTGTCATTAGTGTGCAATAGTGCAAGAACACACGGGGGGAACTTTTTGAGCTGGAAAAGGCCTTAGAAAGCAACAACCAAACTGTTACAAGTACTTCGCTAGTTATAAGCAGCAGCGGTACATCTAACTCCATTAAATAGCACATCATGTACATGAAGAAAGATAGAAGAAGATGACACATGATTGCAAGCCACTCTGTCTTCTTTATCTTAGGGACCCACCCACTACTCTAGTCTATACCAAGAATTTAGATCCAAGGAGATGCAATGCAATTAGCAGGTATTTCATTGTTCTTGATGTATTTGCAGGCGATTCGCCTCGGTAAGAACTTCAGGGAGCATCTTAGGAAGCATGGTGATGATGAGGTTGAAGCCAAGGACATAGTTGAGAGGCTAATGACTGACACCACAAAGGCTGACAAAGATAGGCTGCCAAACACTGGCTGTGATCCAAACTGGGAGCACGGCCTGAGCTCCATTTTCATTGAGGTGCAGACTGACCAGGTGAGAGCAAAATCTTTCACTTCATTTCAGTTTCCAAGTACATTCAGAGTTCAATTATTCAACAAACTAAATCATTAATTAGCCACTGAAAATAATGCACGTGATATAGTACAATGACAGCATATATATCAATCGATCAATCATGCATCTATCTACACTCTGAATTTAACATGTTAATTTCTGTTTTGGCAAAATTAAGGGACTCTACGGGACACGGAGCACGGCCGTTCTATCAGTGAACTACGACGGTGAAGCTAGCTTGTACGAGAAATACCTGGAGAGTGGTATATGGAAGGATCACACGGTGCATTACCAGATAGAGTAGGCGGTAATATACTAATATGGGAGCCTCCAATAAGAAAAGGATGACGAAATTAATAGCTACAATTGTGCATGTAGTTATCTTCTTCACCCGGTATATTGAAGATGAAGAAATGTACAATGATTCTCTAATTACGCCGATTAAATTATATATACTGTATGCAGATTGCTTATTCATCACATGGAAGATGATAAAGTTGTCACTGATGTGTTGAATATATACATTTTATCCTATACATATTTACAGAACTTGTGCTGGAACCATTGTTGTATTTCAGCCATGTCTGCTTTACTCTGAAATCTATAATTAGGGTGTGTTCTTTTCTCCTCTATACTAGCTTCCATTTCCTCATTTTACGAACGCACATTTTCAAACTATTAAACGATGTCTTTTGTGAAAAAATATATATGAAAATTGTTTTAAAAAATCATATTAATTTTTTTCAAGTTTTTTAAGGTAATACTTAATTTAATCTGCGTGCAGGGGTGCGGAATTAAATGGAATTGAAACGCTGTAATGTTGCGACACAACGGGGAAAATATATAAAATCAGCTTAGGAGATGAGATGCAGACGAAATGCATTTGGGTTACCTCGATCCCTTTCTTCGGTAGGGCTAGGGCACAGCGCGGACTCGTGGGACCGGACCGGAAGACGGCGGAGGCCTCGCGGAGCGACGTGGAAGAGGACGAGTTGCCCTTGCCTCTATGCGTGAAGGGCCACGGCCACGGGGGCGGCCTCTCGCCTCGACTCGCGAGAAGACGGCGATGGCGCCGCCGTAAGACGGCGAGCCCGGCCGTCGAGCAGCGAGAGGCGAGAGACCACGCCGCCGCGGCTCGTGTCAGACAGGGGCAGTCGGGCCGCTACTCTGGGGCTATGGGCCTATATGCTGCTGATAGTAGGCCTATTTTTGGCCCATCTAGTAGCGCGGCTGTTGGGCCAAATTGGGCCGATGTTAAATCGTCATTAGCCCATTTTGCTCCTACCGAGGGATAGTTCATAGGCTTGGGCTTAGGGAAAGATTTTGAAATGGAATAAGTTCACTTTAATTCCCTTAGGCAATATATGGCAAATGGGAAAAGGAAGATTCCCACCCATCTTTAAATCCTAACTATTTATTCTCCCTCTTCCATTTAATCCTAATCCTTCATTCATTTCCCAATCCCAATCCCATCCCCCATTTCCCATTATCCAAACACACCCTTAGTACTTCAATTGTAAAACCGAGTATAATATCTCCCTCAACTATTTATACCGTGTAAAACGACTCCCTTAAAAGTTTTGAGAGTAGCTTTCGCTGATGCGGCAATCCAGTCATCAGACAAATTTAAAATATACATGGGTCCACATGTAAATGACTACCTCCCTCTCTCTCTCAGTGAGGCCCACGCAGGTGGCATGGGGTGGCACGCTAGTTGGTGGATATGGTCGCACAACAGAGAGACCGCTCCAACTCCGATGATGAGGCGCCCTCCTCTTCCCCACTTTCCCACCGTCGTGGCTTTGTCGGTGCCGCCTAGATCACCACCATAGACCAGTGCCCTACGCGCCCTCCTCAGCAGCGTCATGGCTTTTTGGAAGTAACGGCAACCGCCACGGAGGGTGGACGAGGAGGAGCACGATGCCGCTGACTTGCTGGACCGCAGGCATGTCACACCCTGAAGTTCTCCTCCTAAGCCTAAAATCGAATTAATAAGAGACCCTAAGAAAATACCGGTGCAAAGCAAGAGTTAACCCTATTAAATCAATGCAAATAACAATCGGAATTGGCATGTGGAATTTTTCTTGAGTTCTACATGTCAAAATTCACTAACAAGATTTTTAGTGGAATTTTCAGAGCTCTCGAAATAATTTTAACCAATTAAAATCGAGCATGCAATATTTTAAATCCCAGGGAAATTCTTTTCCTCCTTTTCTTTTTTCCTTTTCCCTCCTTTTCCTCTTCTTGGGCCGTCAGCCCAGTCCACCCCGCCGCGCGCGCGCCCTCCTCCTTGTGGGCCAGCCCAAGCCGCCCCTCCCTCTCTCCCCGAGACACCGACAGGTGGGCCCCACCTGTCGGGCCCGTCTCCTTCCTCCAGCCGGCGCCGCCGCCGCGCCCACGCCTCCGCCTTCTCCGGGCCACGTCAGCCACGCCCGCGCGTGCGCCGCATCTCCCGCACCCACTTCCCCCTCTCTCGCGCTCGCGCCCGCGCCCGAGATGGCCGGGATTCGATTTTCGAATCCCGCCTCTCTCTTCTCCCCCACTCCCCACGTTGGCCGGCAAAATCTCGCCCTACCGGCCACGTCCGGGACTCCCCTATTTAAGCTTCCCCGTCGCCCCCTCTCGCTTTTTCCCCATCTCGCCGAACTTCCTCGTGCTCCCCATCGCTCCCGCGCCGTGCAACCACCCGCCGCCGCCGTTTCCGCCACTCCGGCCGCCGCTAGCCGCCGCTAGGGTCGCCGCCGCACCGCGCCGTCGCCGCCGTCGCGTTCGCGAGGCTAAGCTCCACCCCGGCCGCCCCTTCCCCGTCGAGTTTCGTCGCCGGAATTCGCATCCCCTCGCGCTCCGGTGAGTTCAACCTCTACCGCCGCCTTCGGCCATAAATGCCGGTCGCCGTGGTTCATCTCCCTCCCTCTAATCCCTCCCTCCATCTTCCTTAGGGCACCCCGAATCCCGTCCGTCGGTTGCCGTCGTCCTCCCGTGGCTCGTCGTCGCCGTTCGCCGTCGTCTTCCTCCGCGCCGGCCACCCTCGGTGAGGCATCCCTCCCCTCTTTTCCCCTTCCTCCCCTCCTAGTGCCGCGCCGCCGCTTCAAGTCGCGCGCCGTCGACTTCGGCCGCCGCCGCCGCCTCCCGTGCCGCCAGTTGCCGCTGCCGTCGGCCACGTGCCGTCGCCTCTAGCCCTGGCCGGCCGGTCGGCTTTGATGCCGAGCCGAGCCCGGCGGCCGCCTCTATCGCCGCCCGTCCGATCGGCCCCGAGGGCGATCTGGGCCGTCGGTCCCGTGGACCGGCGGTGGACCACCCGCGTGGTCCCGGTCCACGGTGAACCGCCCCCTCCTTGAGTCGCTGACCAGTGGGGCCCGCCTGTCGGCGCCGCGCCTCCCCTTCGTGCTGACGTCAGCCCTGGAAAATATTGCGCAATAAATTATTTAAGGATTTTTGTTATAGTAATAAACACAGTGAATCTTCTAAAATTCATAGCTAATTCATCCGAGCTCCGTTTAAGCCCATTCAAGTCTCAGTAAATCAAGAAAAATGTGTAGAATCCATTAAAAATGGTTTTGTTCTCTGTTTTAGTAGTCTTATAGCCTGTTTGCATTGTTTGCCTTGTATGTCGCTAGATTCCGGCTCTTTCGACGCTCCGGTGTACTTCGAAATAGTCGCCGAGGTTCCTCCAGCAGCAGAGCAAGGCAAGTCATGCTTGTCACTTGATCATATTGATCCTATATTGCAAATGTCCTAATGTTTTCTTTCAAATACCGCATTTGTTTTGCAATTATACTATGGGATGGTTACCTATTGTTACAGCCATGCTTTTTGGATACCATGCTCCTTTGTTAGCTTGGGTTATAACATGATTAGACTTTGGACTAGGAATTGCTTAGCCATGCTTAGTTCAACTAGCACACAATGGGGAAATCTCATTTAAAACCTAGACTATAGGTTTATATGATAATGTTGGATTGGTACCACCGCTCTGGTGTTGGTTAAATAAAATGAATCACATGGTGGGCTGTGGGTGCATGGTTTTGCTAGTCGCGCCCATGGCAATTAAGGACCGGTTCGCGGGAAACCCTAGAAGAACTTATCGTACTTACCACAAGCCAGCGTGGGCAACGGCTGGGCTTGTAGTGTAGCTTTCCTCTAGCCGACGCATCCAGGCAAGGGTGGGCGTGATGGAGTTTGGATGGGCCCTGCGACGGCCTATGCGGCTTCCAGATTCACCTAGGCACGAGAGGGGACTGCCCGCTGCCTTGCGAGGAGTGGGGGTGAAACCTGAGGTGTGGTGTGCTTGGTTAGAGGGGGTTATGCGAAGGGTCCTGTCACGGCCTCTTTCCGGTATGTCGTGGTGGCATGTCGGCGCACGGAAACGTGTCGTGGGGCTGTGTCTTGTGGGTACAGTTGTACACCTCTGATCAGAGTAAAACTATTCGAATAGCCGTGCCCGCGGTTATGAGCGGTCAACCAGACTCACCGTGATTAGACTCACCTTAGTTTAGTCTAATGAAATTAGATGGTATAGGTGGATGGTTGGGCCTATTGCAACGTGGTGTAACGTTGGACAGTGGATGATTAATACTGCTTAATTATTACAACTGTTTTCGCACTCGACTCCTGTTTATAAATGCTAGTGTTTATGCAAATGAGCCTGTTTAGCTATCCCTTGTTGAATCCCTGCATCATACCCCCCCCAATTCCGGTATGACTTGCTGAGTACAGTGGATAGTACTCAGCCTTGCTCTATTTTCCCCCAATCCCAGAGCTCGAGTATGTGTCCGATGACGGGTTCTCCGAGGAGTAGGTTTCGTCCGTGCCGTCGAGGATGCCTGTGGAGTGGTGTTCCCGCTGCAGTTCAAGTCAAGGATTAGCTCCAGTTATCTTTTGTTTTTCCGCTGCATTTATGTAAGACTTTTATAATGTTTGTAAGACGTGGATCTGTATGTCAACATTGTCGTTTGTGTACCCCGGCCGGTCCTGGACGGGGGTTTTAATGCACATTCTGCTTGGAATTCTATTCGGGAATTTCTGGACGTGACAAGTTGGTATCAGAGCCGACCTTTACCGTAGGACAAGCCAAATGGAAACCTAAGAGCCCTCTGAATCCTTTTCATTGCATAAGTTCTTTGCAATTGGAATTGTTCCGGGAAAATTTGGGATCTGTTCTTGTGATTCAAGGGAAAAATCTTGTCGCTCATTTAAGTGAGATTTGTCAAAACAAGTCGGTCTAGGGTTTTAGTAAAATTATTTGAGATGTTTTTGACCGTCAGTTGGGATTTGATGGGCGAATGCACTAGGTTTTAGCTCAGGAATATGGGTTGTAAGGTATTTATGCTTTTATTGTTATTATAAGTATGTATCTAATTTCCCCATTATTTTACCTCTATGTAAGTCCGTCTTATTTATTCGCTCTCATGCAAAATGATCTATGTATAAAATTTCGCTCTTATTCGTTTCTCTTATTTGAGTCCTTTATTGCTTTATTTAATTTGGATTTGAGCATGCATTGATCCTACCCCTTTGTCTTCTCTAGATGGCCGAGCACCCACCCAACCACCGCGGAGAAGGCATGGATGACTTCGTGGCAGAGTTGGCACGCATGACACTGGTGGTGGGCTACCCCAACGCACCGGAGTACACGACTGTTCCACCGCTCAGTGGCGAGCTTCCTCACCGTGTCCGCTTGGAGGTCCATGGCTACGTGGGGACTTGCCTCGCTAACATGGCGGTTGAGGCGTCAGGAGGCACAGCAGATCACGCATGTCAGGAGGCAGCATATCTGATGATGGCCAGACTACGGGAGCGCCACAACTACATCTTCCACGACACGGCGTACCGCTTTCACCCTCGTCGAGCCTGCGGCAGTGATGTCAGTTCCTTCCGTCCGACAGCCGGCGAGAACGACACCACCTTCGGTCACATGTGCGCTGTGATGAGGGGGATGGACAGGATGCACTCGGACCTGCACAAGGCGTCCAAGGCCTTGAATGATGGGAAGCTCATGAGGATCGTCGCTCTGAAGGACGAGATAGCGCGCCTGAAGAGGGAGAATGCTCAGTTGAAGGGTCTTCCCGCACCAAGGGGAGTCCGGATCCGCACTACGCCTCGCAAGTCGACAACGGCACCCGTGCGCGTCCAGCTTGCGCCCAGGAACCCACCTCCGTCAGCAGCTCCTCCAGTTCCACCCACAGCTCCAGCAGTTCCTGCAGCTCCAGCGCCAGCTCCAGCTCCCGTTCCCGTGTCAGCTCCATCATCCGCGCTCTCCTTCGCACCTGCATCAGCCGTCAGGGGCCCCGCCAGTGGCAACGGAGGTTGGTTGCCAGCTACTCCCAGTGGCAGCTGCGACCGCAGCAGCAGCAGCTCCAGTGGCTCAGAGCCGGGCAGCGGCGA